AATAGGCCACCCGCTCTTTTCCCGTGGGTGTCGTAAAAAGCGATTAAGGGATCTTAATGATAGAGAGAGGGGCAGCAACGTCTCTCTTAATATATCACAAAAATCAAGCTGTAGTTGCCAACTCGCCTACCAAGCGTGGCAACTACTGGTAAAACGCCTCAATAAGGGGAGTCCTATGTTCAGAAGTAGACAATTAACGAGTGATATAATAAAACCTATTTGATAATGTCATCGTGATAAAAATATAATGATCACCCTGTAATCTAAGATCCCACCACTGAATTCTACATGTATAATTTTTTTTTTATTGAAACTTAGTATAAATGTACGATGAGCAAAAATTCAATAAAATGCACTCTGGTTATCAGCTCTCAGTTTGCCGAAACCAGGTTGCCAAGTGGCAGCCATTACTAGCACCCCCTTTTCAACCGACATCAAAAAAAGGAAGGTCTCAATTCGTTTGTATCAATGATGTAACAAACATAAAAAAAATACAACCGAACTTCATTAGTTATAAACCGATTTATAAAATACTTTTTTATCTGAAAGGTTATATGTACTTACAGATTTGTCTCTTAGAAGTTTTATCAAAATTCGTTCATTAGTTTAGTTTTTAAATCAAGAAGGTTTTGACACACATGAAGTCTAAAATCTTATCAAAGTGCAATTTATTATATATTAACTTACGTGTAGATCAAGAAAGGTTGACTTTTATAACAATAGAACTGGCAACCCTAGGTTGCGGCTAACTGAGAGTAAACAAGCCGGGTTCGTTGTATTATATTTTGAACCATTTTTCATTTAAACTAAATTTCATTAAAAATATTTTCTGGTGAAATAAATAGTTCAATAAATAAACAAATATAAGTTTAATACATGCAGAAAAAATAAGCGTCGGGGTCTTAAGCTATTGCCTGCGCTATTAGTTTACGCTGACAGTGCACCAGTGAGGGATAATAAATATGAAGTCAGATCAGTTGACTCGTCGTGACGATTTCACTAGGAATTGTACTATTTTCTAGGTTTTGCTACCAGTGGGGCCGCCACCAGTAACGAAGATTCGTTATTGGAGGAGAAGGGATTGTTAGTAATTGGAATTAGCTAATTTAACTATCGTACTTTACCTTCCTAATGCTCCTCAAATATTGCGTCTATACTGCGCCCACCATGTACCCTCTTGTATAGGCATTCCATTCAATAGCGAGGACGGGATACCTTAAATACTGTACCGCAAACCATATACAAAAAAACTATCGTACTTATTTTCTGGCTAAATGACCTTCCTCTTCATCCTCACCTATCATCTATCACTAGTATTCCGCCAACGCTACTAGCGCAGGTAGTTATTACTTCTATTATCAAGCTTTGAAAAACAAGTCTTCGTTACTTATCTTCTCCTCGTGGTAAAGCTATGCGGTCTTACCACAAAAATAATTTACACTGTTTATCTAAACAGAGTTTAACAAAACTCTGAGTGATTAATTCTTTTTATAGCACGAAGGTGGGCAAACAAGCATACAGCCCGTCTGATGGTAAACTGTCACAGTAGCCTAATAGATGTCTGCAATACTTTTTTTTTAATGAATGATAATGGAATGGGAAAATTTATGCATCTAATATTAATTTAAACACTTTTTGTTTTCAATCGGACATATTTCTTTTGTACATTCATAAATAGATATTAGACATTATAGTAACACGTTTAAATATTTATTTAACTCCTGTATATTGCAAGTTTAACTTTTTTCTGATAAGACCGATAGTATTTATTATCGATCTAGATATGTTTTAATATGAAAAACGTTACTTTCCTTTGTTCACTAAAAATATAAAAACTTAAGCCATAAAGTAAGTACATAAATAAAAAAATGAGAGTTACATCTATGGTCGGTTATATTGAATTCACAATCCCTCGGTTTCTGCACGACACACACTAATGGAAAATATTATAAGACACAAAGGCCTTCCAAAACCTCCCAAAGTGCACGGTTTCGAGAAAAAAATTGAACAACTATTTCTACTTTTCCCTGGCACAAGGATTTCCTTCTCGACACACCCGATCTTTTCTCCCCATCGCTAATGGATACTTATTGAAATATAAATGAATAGTTATTTGTCTACTTCACTAGTATTGTATGAATGTGATACCCATATGAAGGGCATATAGGTTGGTTCACAGACTCACAAAATTCTGCTTGTTTATTCTTTAACGTATTTGACATACGTAGACATTGACCTTTTTATTCACAAGTAAAAACTTACCACCTTACTTATAAGAACTAAAATCTACTACAAATCTATAATAATAATTACAGTGTAATTTTTTTCAAACTAGGAATTTAGAACAAAAGAAAAAGACAAAACACTTCAATAGCAAAAATTGGTTTAAGAGACATTTGACGTTTTTATGAAGAATGGCGTTGAGGTAAAAGCTTATCAATGTTTAAGATTGATTTTTACAAGAAATGAGAATAGATAGATTTGAACTGAACCTCTGACTACTATTGGTGTGTTTTTAGGGCCGAATAGGTTTTGCCCGATTCTGAATTGTCTGGGTTCCTCCCAAGGATCAGGACTGAAGCCTCTAGCTGTAAACAAAGACATATTTAAGAGTACATATGGACCTCTTTTAAGGAATCATAATTTTTAATACGCCAATGCTGGCTACATCATTTGAGATTAATTATACTTATTACAATATATGCGCAAATAAATTCAACACGGCTGGTGGCGAGCCCACCACCTTCTGTCCAAGGTGTCTTGGTTTGTTTATAATGTATATAATAATAACCTATGGGTTTTTTTCCTAAGTTTGTGATTTCTGTCGCTATTTTTGAGGCGACAACTTTCTAATCTATTTTGTATTTATATCTGTGAATTGAAATTGTAACTGAGTTTTTTTCCCCTTATATATATATATATATATATATATATATATATATATATATATATATATATATATATAAAGCTTAATGCTATATATAAGCTAATGCTTTTGGTAAAATAAGGTATTTCATGAACTGAGATTAGATACTTAGATTTCAATCACATAACAATAATAGAATATTATTGTATATGTTCAGAGATTTAAGATATAACATCTATGTCTTAAATCTCTGAACACAAACACTCTGTGGTCATCCGACGAAACTCCAGCAAGTTGGAGGCAAACACGTCTAATTGCGAATACCGGCTCAAAATATCATTGAGTAGTTTCAATACAAGAGAGAGGAGAGCTTGTTAAGCCAATTCTATTCTTTTTAACGGAATATTAAATAAATGGCGTCTACGTGCTCGCACATAGTTACTGGGTGCTCCTATTGATATTGGCATTACAGTTTAATTATATTTTTCCCTCCGTACTAATTATAATACGTAATCAAAAATAATACATAAAAACATTTATTCATGTAGTAAACTCTTAAAAGATAAACTACCTACTAAAGGCATGATACTGTTCGTACAACGAATACCTATTTGTTATTACAAACTATTAACTATTGTTAATTATAATACCTATTTATATTTACCTAATCTTGCCTTTAATAACTAAAAGGTAAATAAACTACAACTTCATGTTTTTTTACGTTGCACCTTTTTAATGTTTTATCTATGCCTTTACATTGTATTTACCTCAGAAATGCTTAGAATAAAAAAAAAACAATTTCTTAAAAATCTAAATTATGTAAAGTTATGTAGAGACTATTCTAGGTAAATAACGCTTAATGGATAAGTATAGCCTTAGGTTATAAAATACTAAGTCTTTGGGGTATAACTGTCCCCTTGTCATGAAACTTAACAAAGATATATAAGTAAACTTTATGGGAATGTTTATTATAAGATAGAAATACATTTTTTATAATTAATGAATTTAATCTGTTCTTAAATAATTTATACATCGTATCAATCGTTAATTGTCCAATGCTGAACATAGACCTAGCGGCGGCCTTACCCATTGCAAGGCTACAGGCGGTAGGTCTTTGCGAGTCTTTGCGATGACATACAAATAAATAAAATTTGAGTTTTAAGTTATTGGAAATTTTCCTCTGACTCAAAAATTATTTTATTTTTTTACAATTTTTTTTACTTGTGTATTTTAGTGTTAGTTGTTCATTCGCGATTATTCGAATGGGGAAATTACGCGAATCGGGAAATTTTTGCAATTTGTCACTAGACAAAATGCCACTCACTGGTTGTTTAAAATTTGTCTGGCTTGTTGCGCGCGGCCCCTGCAAAAGCGAGACCCCGGGCAATTGCCCTGTTCGCCACCCTCTAAGGCCGCCGCTGCATAGATCACTCCCTTTTGACGATTTTGTGAATACTTTGGCACAATAGCCTTTTTAATTATTATTTTATATTATTTATAAACGTTAGTATACAAATGTCAATCAAATTCAGCATATAAAGGAACGGAAGAAACGAGAGTAGTGTTCAAAATTGTCAATAGATGGCGCGCTAACACAATTTATTAATTTTCATGCAAGTCGTAAGCGCCAATCGCGTATCGCAAAGTGTTCTATATTCATGACGTCATTATTTCCACGTTGGAAGTTGTAGAGAAATGTCATGTCTCTACTAAATTTTGTAAACTAAGAAAAATAAAATCAAAATATATTGTTATAAACAAGTGTCTTATACGTATTGTGAATAGTTAATAAATTTAATATTCTGGTTTTATAATAGTACCATTTTATAATGTTGACCTCAATGTGGAACCTTGAAAACCAAGATGACTCTTGTTAACGAAGATATGAACCGGATTTTAGATTATCTTACAAGAAATGATCAGGAACTAGACGGATTAAATCCTAAAATGGATGGTTTTCAACAAGACGCGTTAATGGTTAGTATATTCCTTCTATTGCCATCGTCTGAATGTATATTGATAAGATGTCACGTCAATGACTTTACTGTCTGTAGCTGCCTATAGAGATTCAGCACTATATTTATGTAGCGAGTGTTTTCAGAGGCGCCCGGTGAAGTAATAAGTGAAGTGATCGTCGACTGCGAATCTCGTCCAACAGCTTTCGTGCTTACGTTCCTACTTTTACCGTTATACATTCATTTCGTTTCGTGATCGGTTGTGTGTCGCTCGCGAACCCTAGCCTCTCATTTCTGAGTGATTAGCATTCCAATTTGAAAATTCATAATTGGAACGAGGATTTACCCTAATAAGCTTTGTAATTACGTTGCCAGTTTGTGATAGCGCCGCGCGCCGTGAACCCGTTTCGTAAACAAGTTACGTCAATACATTGCCACCTAGGCACCATGCGGTCGTCACTACCATATGCCATCTGATATCTTACCGGTATACACTAGAATCACCATATAATCCTCCATTGAACAATTAAATGTATATTTTATAGTGTTACCCAATTCCCTTCTGTGAATACAGTGACAATTCCAATATTTGGAGTGACTAAATGTTTTAAATAACATAGATGCAACTTGAAAGTGTATAAAATGGATAAAAGAGTGGATCTTTTGTCTTTACTTGAGGTAAATTATTATGCTTATTTAGTATATTATAATATATGGATAGTTGATGCAAATTCTACTGTTAGCGGAGAGTTTATCATGAAACATTATGAGTGTCTCAGATAGCACATTATTGTCCTACTTACATGTAGATTAAAATAGTTCCACATATTTATTGTATATTTAATTATAACTTGTATAATATAGAAGATATCATCTAATAAGTTGACTCATTTAACACAAGACCTAGATGTATATGAAAGTTAGTTCAGTGGATATCCTTAGGAGATATGCCCAACTAAGAGACTGGGTTTACTGGCTCATATATTTGTAAATATTTAGCTATTAGTTTTTAGTTGTGACTTCATTTATAGGACCAAAAGTCATTTGCTCATGACCTGCTCCATTCCATACACTGTGTATATGTGTATAGGTATTAAACATGATGATTAGAAATCAGGTGGTAATAAAAAACAAATATATGTTTATATTTTTATTATTAATAAATATTTTCTAATTTAGTACTAATGAAATTGCATTGCACAATTCATGTGCAAGTCATTCACACACACAACTAAACTCAAACACACTGCTGTATTGAACATAAATAATAGTTTAATACAATCGAAATCTACTTAGTATCAACTCATCTTTTTGTTAAATGTAATATTATAAAAATATATCAACAAGTTGCAGTAATAATAATATTTCAATGTGAGAATTTGTAAAGATATGCTTAAATAGCTTGACAGAATTGAATTAAATTTTGTATGTAGATACCAAATCCTAGATTAACTCAATATAATATTTTATTTTCATTAATTTGGGTAAAAGGGTGAGGTAGTCAGCTAATAACATATAAGTACTTACAACTTACCAATAAGTCAACCTATCTTGATCCGACATGAGAGATCCATATTGGAGAATACTAATTAACTCTTTAAAAGTAACTTCTAACTGGTTAGCATTAGTGATTATTATTGTAGCCATTATTGGTTAATAGTCTTATATATAACCAATAATCACATAATGTAATTTAGTGTTTACTTTCTAGAATAATTAAAAAAAAACAATTCACACTATTATCAGATTATTATTAATGCAATCAGAATAGCATTAACATAATTGTTGCAATTTTGATAAACTATGAGTTTTTATTCTATTGCTATTTTGGTATTTAAAATATTTTAATATAATATATCAGAATATGTTTGCACAATATTTATTGTTTTTAGCTCATTTCCAAATTATTACATAATGTATGTTTATTATTACATGGTTTCTAGAAATTTGTAATTAATTAACAAGTCTTTAATTATACTTTGTGCATTGTATCATAGGGTGGATGACAGGTCACTAAAACAGTAGAAAAAAAAGTAACATAAAAAATAACTTACAGATTCAACAATACCCTTTACTGTACTAAGGGATTCATAATTATGCTTATTAGAATGACTGACTTCAAAAATCTCATTCAATACTAAATAATAGTAAAAAAATGCCAGTCTCAGCTGTCACCCAGATTATACTATCATGTGCAGAATATAGTTTTGTCACTGAACTTTCATACTTATTTCATATTTCTCAAATTTTGTGCAAGTGAATAGTTATGTCTTATAAGACTTCAGCTGCCTGCTAACGAAATGCTTTCTTACTGTACTGGGTTGACTGGAAGAGATCTCTGTCAGAGATAAATCCACCCTTGCTCACAACAATTATAAATTGATTATTTTATATGTAACTTACAAGTGCAATAAAGAATATATATATATTACATACATACATTACATTAGTCTTATATATAACAAATATTTCCATATTTGTTATGTATGAGACATCGTCTATTTTATTAGGATAATTGTTAATCGAATAGGATAAAGAGAAGGCCATGTCCTTCTCTATCCCAAATATTATATGTATACCAAATTTCGAAATGATCAGTTGATCAAGTGCCAAAAGTTAACAAACAATCATATTTATAATATTAGTAAAGATTATTCATTGTAAGAACATTGTGTTGTACATATATTTTAATGATATAGAGTAAATAACCTTTGGTATACAAATATAATTTCCTCAAATTTTTTTTATTATATATATATATAACATATTATATCTCAAAATGATTTAAAATATGCCTTATTAATTACTTTTACCTGCGTCTTGGTCCGCGTGACTGACAGAAAAGTAGCAGTAGTAGTAGTATGACCGTCTCTAGAGCGCCATCTATCGCTATATCAAAATTCATCATAATCGATACAGCAGTTTAGACGTAATAAACAAACTTACCTTCGCATTTCTAAGGTTAGTTAAGGATGAGGCATATTTTATTATCAAAATAAGAGCTTAAATTTTTTATAACAATTATTGTTGTTATAGTAGTAGTTAATAGTAATATTTGTCATGTTTTGTTTAAAAATATCCTTAATGTTGGTTCACAACAGGTAACATGACATTTATTCATATGTTTAATGAATTAACTTAGTGATATTTTTTTATGAAAATTTTTAAAGTATTTTACTACTGCCACGCTAATCTAAAATTAAATTGAAGATTAAAAAAAATTTTTTTGGAAAAAATCTTGAATTATTTAAATCAAATTCCTTTATTGCAGTCTGATACATGGCCGGGATCAGACGACTTTTTGGAGAACATCTTCTCCTTGGAACAGGGGTCGTTGAACTTCCTCGAAGAGTCTATGCCAGACTTTAGCTTGTGTCCTGAGAATGTATCTGATAACCTGTCGGACAATGTGTCACAGTCTCAGCCTTCAGAAGCACTGAGCAGCTCATGTTCAGACAGTGGACTGTCCAGTGATCAGGCAGAATTGTGAGTTTTTAATTTTTTTTAGATACTTTAAATTAAATGTGATTACACATGCCTCTATACAACTGTCATAATGTTATACTAGTTTATCAACCGACTTCAAAAAAGAGGTTCTCAATTAATTTGTCTTTTTTATGTCTATTATTTCATAACTTCGTTAATTGTAAACGGATTTGGTGCATTCTTTTTTTATCTGAAAGAAATATACTTACAGATTGGTCCCATAGAAGTTTAATTTAAATATTACAAATCAAGTATTGTTTTTTTTTTTTTTTTTGTGAAATATTGTACTTTACTTAATTTTTTAAATATTTTATCGAAGGTGCTATCAATACAAGCAACAGTCTGTACATGGAAGATATATAAGAAAAACTATTATAGGAGAGCTTTATGAACGTAATAGAACCCAAAACAATGATTTTTAGAATTTTTGTCTGTTTGTATGTACATTTGTGCACGCTAATCTCAGAAACGATTTAATCGATTTGAATGCGATTTTCACTAATGCTTCTGTTTGCACCACTTAACATTTAGTGTTTGTTTTATTTTAATCGGTTAATAAATAAAAACAGTTATATCAATCTAAAGAATCACATATAAAATGCTATAAAATAGCCGATCAGTTGATTCGGTTGATTTTTTTTTTTTTTATTATATGTATTGGTTTTCGAAAATTCTGCCTACTCGTGCGAAGCCGGGTCGGATTGCTAGTCTTAATTATATATTTAAAAAGTTCATCCAGTTCGATGATGCTAAAATAGTAATATTTTGTGTAAAACTTATGTATAAAAATTTTTGTACACGTTTGGTCCAAAGACTCGACTCCTTCCTCAGATCTATTTGCAGCTCACATATATTTATACTATTATAAGTATGTACTTACAGCAAAAAATCTGAGTTCGTTACACTCTCAAGAATTTTGTTTATACCTTACTAACTTGCTAACTTATGATAGTACATACTTGAAGATATAACTGTATATGTCAATACATTTTTTATAATTATTATATCAGCCGTTGACTGTATACTCTTGCGCATAGACCATAATGGGGATTTTGCCTTTAGTTGTCACGCTTGTCAAGCAGGTTGGCAACCGCAGTTAAGCTTTGGTGATATTATAAGAGGAACTTGTTTCTCCATCTCTCGACCTTTTACGACACCCACGGGAAGAGAAGGGGTGGCCCATTCTATAGCGGGACCACACAGCATGTGTCAAACAATACATACAACAGTGTTAATGATGTTATAGCTTTCTTGGGTATTTTTCATGGCATATAATATAAGGTATCCTATTGTTTATATAAATGCGAAAGTTTATAACAATGAATGTATGTATGGATGGATGTTTCTTACTCTTTCTAAATATTTTTCTTTTTAAAAATTTCTAAATACTAAACGGATTTGAATGAAATTTGATGCACGGGTGGATTATATCCTAATTCACGTGGCTGAAACCACGGGATACAGCTAGTTTTATGTAAGAGTTAGTACTCTATAGTAGTCTATTACTACACGATATGACAGTGTCGCCGTCTCCTATCAAGAGTTATTGAGCCGCTTTCGTTATACACGAAATCCTCTGACGTGACTTATTATATGTACTACTCATAAACGAGTAATTATGTAGCGCGTATACCTGACTTAATAGGTTTTTATTAATGGAATGTTCATCACGAAATTTTGTTTCTTTTTTAATATTTTCAGAAACAAGATAACAGAAACGCTGTCTTTATACCTACAATGTGCTCGTACATTGTTCCTAGCGGTAAATTTAGGAGGGGAAAGGCGTTGCTTTGTACTTTTATTTTTAAGCGACTTAAAAATATTTTTTCTTTATTTATTATGAGACCTTTGACAATTGATTTATTATTAGACCTTTGACAATTCTCAACCGGTTTTTATTATTTTTGCATCCGATAGATCAAAATTGTATATATCCTTTATTAGTTTTATCATAATTAAATATACTACTGTTTTTGTTTTGATCCTGCTTGTAGAAAATATTTCGTTATTAATTAAAATATTACAAGTAATACTAGTAATAAAAAGAGAATGGTGATATTACCGGTCAGTAATTCAGTATTAATTTGGTTTATTTATTAATCTTTAATACATCTAGGTAGTGTAAACGGCTAACTAAACACCATATAACGTTGTTGTTTTCACAGAGCAAAATACGAGTGTATTGGGAATCATCCTGCTTTCTAGGACTATTGTCAAAAGTAGGCACATCGTTGAGGATTTGGTTGCAAAAATATGAGAGTTACTAGGCTAGTCAGTTTAGATGTTTACTTTAACAACAACGAATTCTGTTATACATTACTTGACGCCTTTGTTACCCTTATATATATATTTTTGATGTATCTTGACTGTTTTAATTTACTCTGGTAATATTTCAGTTTCTGTCTCCATTGATTTAATAACTGTAATAGTTGTATTAATGATGAAATCATTGGTTACCCTAGATACGTCAACGCCATAGGTCAATGTAACTGGTTCCTATCCGTGACTCACATTTATATGATGCAATTGTCATGCATCTTAAGTATCTTAGTCGATGTATAAATTTGACGATATGATTGCGTTACTTAATATTCTAGTCCGCAATACGTAACTCATTGTAGTATAACCGTGTAAGAAATATTTGAACATTGAAAAATTTGAACTTTGGAAAACTTTGCAATGGTTCTTAAAATGTAATGTAGGATCTTAAACAGTTTTTAAGGAGTCGCGAATTAATAATAACTACACACAAATACCAATTACGTAGTTCTCAAAATAGGATGCCCTGTATTATAGAGATACCAGACAGCAAACATTTGGGGTCCATCCCGGAACAACCAGATGCTAGGCAATTGAGAAAAGTTCGTTTCCTGAATTGATTTGACCAAAAATTGAACCTGAAAATATCTTTTAACATGACAGACATACTACTTATTCATTGCAATGGAATTTGCTATCTCCGGAGATAATAAAGAATTTACAATCGTGCTACCTGTAACGTTTAAAAAGACTGATCAATTGATAATAAACACCCTGTATCTGAAGACAAGTGGCAAACAAATCTATCGATAGAATCGTTATCGTTACCAAGCAGCAATAACAATTATCTACATATTTCGACGGGCTCGGGTCCATGAGTTTATCTTGTGATATGGCGTATCCCCACATCCTGTTCTTTCTCAAGCATGCACTGAAAAAATATAAATATAAAGGAAATTATATTAACTTACTACGTTTTTTAAATACACTATCAGTACTTAATGCGATGAAAAATTTTTGCAGGTAAATAGTACCTACATACCTGTTTCCTTATTGTCAATGTTTTAACGTGGATTACACCTTGTGGTGACGACAGGGCTATTACATTTGCCGTTTTCAACAATTGTTTCTTCTTCATCCAGAAGTCGAAATAGTAAAGAAAAAGTTAGAACTTTCCAGAAACTGTAAATTATAGGTAGTGTAGATTCAGTTTAATTACAGAATTTTGGCCTTCAGATACGACAAAGCCTATTGTATCGGAATTTATCAATATAATACAAGGTCTTTTTATAAACACTTGTATAATTAATTGCATAAAGTCCAATTTTAAACGCTTCGTTTATTGTATAGTGAGATTTTTATATTTTTCCACAATTTTACTCGAAACTTGTGCACTAAAAGACTGTTAAAATTGAGTCCAGTTACGTATACGTATATAATAATATATAAATTATGTAACTGGGTAAAATTTTGTTCTTCAATAATGACCTATTTCAATGTTGATCAAATCAGTGAGTATAGAACGACAACCATGGAAGTAAACCGTTTGATTAAAAAATAATCATTATAATCAGTTATAAATTCTTGAAAACATCATCGTCATCATATCAGCCGTTCATTGCTGAATACATGTCTCCCCCTTGTGGCGTTTGTAAAAAATAAATTAATTTTGAGCATAGTTCTATTTTATTACTGTGGGCTGGAAATTTGCATAGTGATATATATAAAAAAGTAAAATATAGTTGTTTTTATTTGGTAATATAACCGGCCGTCCGCGTGATGCGAGCGTTCATTGCACTGCATTACAAAATTTGCTATTAAAAATTCTCGTATATAGTTTCTTAGTAACGTGATTCGTAAGTAGACCTCGAAAGAAATGTAAATAAATCATTTATTTTTAAATAGCTCACTTGGCTATCTCGACACATTTTGTACTTAATGATAATTACTATTATAATAATGACTATATCTACGACATTGATCTTATCACAGAAATAAACAGGTTCTTGCAATCATTCTTATCATTTATCACGAAGTATGGATACTGTTTAATGTCGTAAGATAAGTACTTCACTTTTAAATGAGGAATAATATTACCTATTTTCTATATATTATTAGTATTTCTATGTTTGTTGCCGTATAACTCCGTTAGTTGTAAACCGATTTGGATCTGTAAGGATATATACTTACAGATTGATTTCATAGAAATTTTCTCATAATCGGTTAAATAGTTTTATTTTTAAATGAGAATAACTGGTTTTGCCACAATTGAACTCTTTTTTTTTTATCAATCAGAATCTTAAGACAATCTTAATTAATTAATGGATAAAAACAGTAATTTTGGTGGGATACCAACAGGGGATGATAGGTAAGGATGAAGTCGAGTCAATCGGGCCAAGGTGACGATTTCTCTATATTATGTTATATTCAAATAAAATGTTCTATGAAATGTTCTCTTATATAGGTTCTTTAAAACCTGAGCTCGCCTAGTTTAAGGACTTGTGCAATATATCTATCGCTTACGCTAATATCGATGTTTGTAGCGATTTCGAGCAACAATTGTCGCCGTTTCTCATTCAAAACTCGTGTGATGAAGACATCAGCACCACAGCGGGCCTGGAGCCCACTAGTCCGGGCAACGCTCAAGATGTGGTCATCCAAGACACATGTGATACCTCAAACAGTTCTAGCGAGGTCGTCGAAGAGTCATTCGACATGTTGGACTTCGAACAGAATGTCGTACCTGGATTCATTAACAGCAATAGTAATAATAATAATACATTCCAAAACCCTGGTGAGTTCAATGAATTTATTTAATAATTGTATTTAAAATTACAATTTCAGATTGATCATTTGGTTTTCATACGACTCGGTTTGTTCCAGCTTCTGGCCAACTGACCTGCATTCATCCTTACCTATCAATTCTCACTGGTGCCCCGCCAGCGTATACCGATAGCGCAGGCGGGGTTACTATTCCATTTTCATCCATTAAAAAACCAAGTTGGGTGGCCCGTAAATATTTAAGCAGTTTTATAATTTCCTTTCAACTTTATCCTCAATTGATATGCACTTAAACGATGATAAAGGTATTCTTACACGTTCTGGGTATTGACCCGTTACCAGATATTGTTGATACAATAACAAATATGTAGTGGTTAATTACAGAAGTTCTTATCTAATTGACACTAAAGGTCTTCATTCGTTAATAGGTTCTGTCATTATAGATATACTAAAATATTTCTTTTACTTATTTAATTATTTATATTATATATTAAATAATCATTAAATTAATAAAATAATTTTTAAAATATATGAATGTGTCTAGATGAGGTATTTTATTTATATCTAATTTATTTATCTTATAGTCGCAACCCGTTATCTATTATTCTTTTTACTACTTCCAAAACTCGGTATAGTAGCGAGTGACCTTCGCCGAGAGATTTGACTTGGAAGTGAATCATTATATCTCTCACTTGAATACATAATATGGACAAATATACGTGGTTTGGAAAATTTGTTATTCATATAATATTCATGGGTTGGAATGTTTTAGATATAAACGAGCATACATTTGTTATACGTTTTACATAACACATAAACAAGTATATAGGTACTAGTTAAATACAATTGATACAGAAAAATGGTATGTCGTGACGACATATTTAATCTGTCTGACCCAAAATGGCTGATGATGTTAAATCACAAACATTTTACATTTTTGCAAAATTCAGATATTATATAAAATACCTAAATGAATAGCTTTCAAGGTACATTCAATAGAAATTAATGGAAAGTTGACCAAAGTTTTTTGTTTTCAAAGAAACGCTCACTAAATGAGATTACTACGAGTGTGTAATCGAAATATTAAATCAATTGATCGATTTTTTATTTATACTACTATTAGATATCAATAGACAATCTTAGTAGTAATAGTTCAGACAATTATTTGTTTGATTGCGTTGTCATTATATTCTATTAAAACAAACTGTATATATTAAATTTATTATTAAAATAAATATGATTTAAACTGTAGTCAATCATGGTCATTAAGTTAATATATTATAGTAAATTAATATTAATATCATAGGTACTTACAGTAAATTGCATTCTTTGATTTAAAAGTACGTATATATTTACTTAAGAATTAGGTATACCAAACTTTGATTGTTGCATGAAGAAATTTCGAAATTAGCTCTTAGACGATAAGTGATTGAATCGAAAATTGTATAGCGAATTATTTTTAGGTAAAACGGAAAGAAAGCGTCGGCTCTCACAACCACAAGTGGTTGTACAACCGAAAGTACAGAGACCTTCGATTAAGGTGTCTGCCTCACCAGCGAAGCCCCAGCTGGTCGTGAAGGCACAACCCCAGAAGCCTCTGAAGGTTGCCAACATTCAGGTCCTAAATCAGCAAACGAAGGTGTACTCTAAACCTGTGGAAACGGTCGCCCCGCAACGCAGAGTCATACGTGTGGCTCCAATGGCGGGTAACCCTAGATCCATCCTCCTTCCCGTCACAATTAAAGACATGAAAGACCTAAAATCCATTAAAATAATCAACGCTGCAGATCTAAAGAACGCCTCGAATTTAAAGCTGGCGGCTGCCAACTTATTATCGCAAAGCAAGCTGCAAGATGTCAAAGTGGAGTCTCGCAGTGAATACCAGTACAGGCACAACAGCAGCCATTGTGGTGGGTACCGTTTCACTTTTCAGCCGAGCCGTCTAGATTCAATCTGTTCAATCTATTTTATTGGAGACAATTGTTTGAATTTAGAAGCGTCGACGCTTTGTTACATAGACACGGTCGATGTACTCGTAAATTGGTGTTTTTAGGTTGTCATTAGACTGATGAAAGTCTATTTATTATCTATTAACTGTACATGGAATAAACCAACGATATTTATTTCTATCAAGTTTTATATGAATTTAGTATAACGTTAATAATTTCATATGAATTTCTAAAAATGAGTCAGTTACTATTTTCATGTTTTTAACAACCATTTTTACCAGAGGGGGACTTTGTACAAAAGTCAATTGCTTTGCACCTCTGTCCCATTCGTGTACCGTGAAGCAGTTGTGTTTGCATGGCTGTGTTTCGGTTTGAAGGGTGGGATATGGCGTGAATTTACAGGGTACAGAGGAATAACACCTGAGTTCTCAGGAATGGCAACGCATGGGGGGTATCATGGGCGAAACAGTACACTCTGTTATGTCCATGGTACTGCTCATGTCTATAGACGACGTTTACCACTTTCCATCAGGTGGGCCGTCAGCTTGTTTGCCATTCTAAGTTGTATAAAAATGCCATATATATATTTACACACACACACATATTTATATATATATATATATATATATATATATATATATATATATATATATATATATATATATATATATATATATATATATATATATATATATATATATATATATATATATATATATATATAAAGTTACCCATATTCTCAGAATATAACCTATCCATGTATCAAATTTTATTCAAATCCGTTCAGTAGTTTTTGCGTGAAAGACCAACGAACATCCATTCGTTCTCACAAAGATTCACATTTATAATATTAAGTAAAATTTATATATAATATAATCATTTAATAATAAACCTTACGGTACAAAAAATATATTCTACTGAAAATAGTCATTTTTATTAAGCAAACTAAATAGGACAAGAATGAGAGTTGACTTTAGTACAACTCTAACTGCGTTATTTCAGAGGAAAAATCTATACGACCAAATGAAAATGTAATCGCGGAAAAGATTTCATCAGATTTAATAATTTAATCAGCGCTCGATGCAATCAGCTTTGAGCCTTACGAATAGAAAAAGGAAAAAAAAAAACCACAATCGAGATCTAATTTACATTAATGATTTTAAAAGAAGTGCTTCATTAGATATTTCTATTTTTAAATACATATAAAGTGGTTATATCACATTCGTTTTCCGGACTTTTCTTAACTGGTCTACTCGCTCTGTCACACGTAACAATATAGATGAACCATTTGGATGTATTTGTATCTAAAACTAGACAATCCGGTTATCAAACTTGGGCAGTTATAACCATTTATGACATAGTTGTAATATTTCACGAAAGTTGTAACAAAATATTGTTATTATCTACCACGTCTTATCATCATGGCAACATGATAAAAAAATATTTTAACTTTTAAATATTTTAATTCTTTTAAATACGCAAAAAACGTAAATCTATCTATGTGTACAAATAAAAAACTTTTCTAGGAATGGAAAAGTCGAAAAAAACTTTAGGTCAGCAATGGGACTTTAAATATTTGTTATGACTGACCTTATAATTGGTTATTTCATTATATTTATTATATTTAATTCCGCTACTTTTATGCCCTCAATCTCGGTACCAAAACTGCGAATAATTTTTTGCAATTTAGGTGCCAAATGGTTAACACTAGGATCTGAGCAGCAATCTAATAATCTTACTGAAAATGCCTCGTTTAGAGAGGTAACACGTGGCACAAAACGTGCGTGAAGTAAATGGCGGTCGGCGATTGAGAGCTAATATGGAAGGTTGTAGACCTTCGGGTAATAATAATGGTGGTCAATTTTCAAGTGTTGTCACACACATACTAATGATACCGGAATTAAACAAAGTTATTCTAATTAAATAACCAGTAATATGTACTTCCGCAAGATAACACCAATTTCAATAAAATATTGACGTTATAACAATTAATGATTTCCATCGAATAACTAGATCAGTTACTTCATCAGGCTTATCTCAGTTTTGCTGGTACATGATAAGAGCACGATAAGATACATACAGCATACGAAACACATTTGGATCTTTTCCATCGCATTCTCACTACTCGAATTGTGAAAAACAATGATATGAATAAATTACTTTATCCTACTGATAAATGTGAAAGTTTGGGAGATGTTGGATATTTATTTATTAATAAATTGCATTTATTACATAAATGCGGCCTAAAATTTCGTAGATTAACACGTGTATTTAGTATTTTTAAACGGTTTTTATCATTGGCAAAACTATAAATTACAACTAGGTCTCCTAAATTTTGTTAATGTAGTAAAATTTTAAGTATCTATCTATAACAATTACTTGAATAAGAAATGTGCATAGTGTTAATCGATTATGCACGGGCTTTTAACGACCATGTAGTTTTAGACATAGTACATTTAAAATAAATACACATAATGTTAACAGAGATTTAAAAGAGTAACTGTTTAGTTTCTTGCGGGCTCTTCTCAACAAATAACGACTTTCCGAACTCTGCATTGATAAAAAATGACGATTTTTAAAGTGCTTGTAAACAAGTCCACCTCTTTGAAGAAACATTTTAATTTAATTTTTTTTATATCCATAATTATTATATCTATTGCAATGCTAACTCTGATTTTGTTTCCAGATGACTCTGGAAGCGAACGCAGTGATGATGATGAACCAGAACAGACCCAAATCAACGACGGCAGGAACGGTTATCCCCGTCTCGTTTTAACAGCTGAAGAGAGACGTTTGTTAGCAAAGGAAGGCATCACCTTGCCAAGCAGCTACCCGTTGACGAAACACGAAGAAAGGGAACTGAAAAGGATCCGACGCAAGATCAGAAATAAGATTTCCGCCCAGGACTCGAGGAAACGCAAGAAGGAGTATGTTGACGGGCTTGAGGATAGGTAAGGATATCTATTGTCGCTTAGTTCTTTTTTGAGTTAGGCAGAGAGAATCGAGTTGTACCATATTATGCTGAATTGAATGTGAAATCATACACAGCCATTTATGCAAGTGTTAGAATAGTGAAACTGGCCTTAATTTTCTAAAAAAAAAAAAAGCATGGGACGAAGAACGAATAGTTCTGCTAGCGCTGTTAGTATTGAATTTTTTTTTTTATTTTCTATTGTACTTATAGCGAATAATTAATATTCAAATTTTAGTGAAAGTTATGAAAAACACCATCCAAAAATTTATTTGTCAATCTGATATTATGAGATATGGGACAGTTTGCCCATCTTATAAGTTATTTTAATTAAGACTTTCGTCCTCTAAGACTAAACCAAATTACCGTTTCCAATAATATAAAAACCAATAAAAGCAAAAAATACACTTCCACGTCAAAACAGCCACGTTATGCCACGCGTAGTATGTGCATATTTCACAACAAATCCGGGGAATTGTGTTCATCATCGATGCTCAAATAGAAAAGGTATTCATGAGTCACCCGCGGCGTGGATCCCCGGCCACGTAGCATTACGTCATACCGGTACATAAATTATCCTTATCTAACTGTAAATAAATAAGAAAACAATTTTATCCAATAAGCATACAATACTTTCACTTCTATTTTTAAATATCGAATCGAGCAAAATTTTTTTTCTTAACACTTTAAAAAAGGAAGAGACATATTTTTATCTTTTTATGCTTATTACCTCATTACTCCATCATTTATACACTTATTTGGAAAATTATTTTTTTTGTCTAAAAGGATATACTTTCACATTGGTCCATAGATTTTTTTAATAGTAGTTTAGTTTTTAAATCAAAATAACTGGTTTTGTCACCATTGACGTCTTGATTTTTTTTCTGGAACAAAATCTTAAATTCTTAGACTCGAGTTTGGCCGGTAAAGGAATTTTAATGAAATTTATTATACGCATTATATATTTTATATAATATATTTCAGTATAAACTAACGAATAATTTACCCGATCATAAGACAGTCTATTAGATGTGAAAGTAGTATAAATAAAAAATGATTAATTGATTATATTTTTCAATTTATTACTTATTTCATTTAGAGAATGTTTCTGTAATAATTTAATAAAAATTGGCTACCATTTTATTAAGTTTTATTGAAGCAAATTATACTAAATCACGCGGGGAGATCTGTGGGACACATCTAATATACTATGAACATTAATTGTATTGATGATCTGGTTGCAATGGGGACGCGTTTACTTTAAGCAATAGCGTCATTACTTAAAATAAATGTTGACCAAGTAATTGGATGATTTTCTACTACTTGTTATAATGTAGCTTTTATTGCCTATTGTTTTTATATAAATTATTATTAAAATCAACTATCAAAAGTACTTTTAACTAGTTAAGAGTCCTGTCTATGATGTATAAACTAAAATAATAGTATAAACAAATACATTTCAAAAGAAAAAAATAAATATAAAAAAAATTATTCAGGGCCATTTATGTAGAGCTAACCCCATTTATAGGTGATAGTTACTACTTTCCATCAGATTGGCCGTCAGCTTGTTTGCCATTCTAAGAAAAATTATCTATAAGTTATAATGGAATAAAGAAACATGGGTATATACATGAACTTAATATTTTTTAATAATTCGAATATCTATTAATCTTATTAAAATTTAATATGTATGTATGAGAGGATATTGCGGAAGTACAAGAGAATTTGTCTTCATATAATGTATACGATGTTGCTCTCCTGTTATATCTACATTATGTGCAATGGTAAATTATAAATGCAGACATTGACAAGGAAAACTGCAATATTATATAAATAATTCACCTTGTTCGCTTCGGTGTAGTGTGAGCGATTTATTAGTGTAGGTATTTAAAGTGAGTAGTCAGTACATTCAAATATAATGTTAGTTGAAATTGAGGCATTAACATCTTTTTTATGTAAGTTTTTGTCCAGCGGAATTGAACGTTTGTCCGAAAGGAATTTGGATCGAAAAAGACAAAAAAATTTTTGCCTACTATACTATTATATATATAAATATATAATATTAGTAGGATTAATATCACAATAATACGAGTTTGTAAAAAAAATTCTTTATGTATGTACTCGTATGTTTGTTACTCAGACACGCTTAAACGGCTAAACGAATTTAAATGAAATTTAGAACTCAGGCAGGTCATGTCCTACGTTAACACATAAAATACTTTATATACCTGCTGATACACACGGACAAAGCTGCGGGAATCAGCTAGTATGCCATAAAGCAACGCATCCATCCGTCAAGTTAATACGAAAGGTTTAAAACTTTTTTAATCATTTTTAAACCTGTTTTACTAGTAAAACTTTCCCTTAAAAGGACGATTATTATTTTAATTTCCACTTGTATATTCGAGGTAACAAAATGGCAAGGCTCCTTATCAAGTTAACATGTTGAATCATTGTCACAGGGTCAAACAGTGCACAGCGGAAAACCAGACGCTAATAAGGAGGATAAAAATACTGCAATCGCAGAATCAGTCGCTGACGGCGCAACTCAAGCGGTTACAGGTAAGTCAGAATACAGATGAGACTAAGACTCTAAATACTTATTGTATATTGAACCTTATTGCTTTAAAATAAGGTCTACAATTCAACGTATAAGAGTTACACGGGTCACAAAATATAATATTGTAATCATACTTCTCAATACTAGGTAGCAACTGAAAAGTTTTCACTTAATAATAACTTTTACTGAGAAATCCTTTAAACACTTCACTTCCACTTACCGTTTTGTGTTTTCAAACGTAATTAGTTAAAAGTTCGTTGGCTTCATTAAATATAATATTTATTTTTTCTCCTTTTAAAGTTCCGTGTATTTTGTAATAATAGGATGCTTAGTGCTTAGTTAGATTTTATTTATTTATTTCGAATTAGGCATACCAACAGTATACATATTATACATAAATGAAATAACATTTTTTGTGTAGCATGCTGATATGCATACCTATAGCAGGCGTACACAACATTGACTACAGATTACATGCATATAAATGTCATAATATAATTAATATATTAAATTAAATTTATAATTACATATTATGTTATACGTTTTAAAGTTTGTGTCAATATAGTTATTGTAACTTTAAGATTATATTTCTTTAGAGATTTGTAGTAATAGGTTAACTGGGAGAGAATGCTATATAGCATTAAATTCGTCTTTTGTACTAAAATTTTTTTATAATGTGGTTCATAAAAAATAAAAGATATATACGGGTATAGATTGTAATAAAAGAACCCCTTTAATCATAAAAAGTCAACTTATTTAGCTATTGAACTGTTTTGTCTCTTTTACACTAATTTTGCATTTTAAAAGTAATAAAACAGTAATAGTTAAAGTAAATTTGTATGTGTTAAGTTTTATAAATAAGGGGGAAAATGTAGCTCAAAAAAAGCGTTTCGTTTGTGACAAATTTATACGAGATTGTTTTGTGATGATAATGAAAGTGAGTTTGTTTGTTTGTTACGTCGTTATACCGCCTTAACGGCTTAACCAATCAATATGAATTTGGTATATACGTAGTACGTGTGCGATGGAGAAGGATATAGACTTACTTTACATCACGAATAAAAGCTAGTTAAAGCACGAACACGAATATAGTTAGCAAATTGAGAACTTTCATTTTGACGTCTCGCTTTAAATTAGTTTCACTTCGCTGTGCCTCAATTCGTAAAAATTCATTTTGTCAGTCATATTTTTTACAGCATCATGATTCAGTAAAATGTATATTCGTAAATTGTAATAAAAATTTATGGTCACGTAAACGCGTTTCGTTTTATTATCGACAGGGAAAAAATCTAATTTATCTTATACAATATCTATGGAAGTAGGTATTTAGGTCGATAGTACATTATTAATTTGTTTTAAAGTTTTCAATGTTTTAGGATACGTTACACTCTGTTAGTTAATTTCATTAAAATCGGTGCAAATTGCGCAAACGACGGACATTTTGTTTTCGAAGACAATCTCTTTCTTTGTAAGCCTTATTTATGACGTGTGCGTCATAGGATGCAAGTTTACTTTTTTGTTACTAATTGTCACGACATGAAAAGGACGAAGTAAAGAGAATTTTTGTACGTCGACAAAATTGTTACATCGAAACCTCTTTATAAAACTTTTAAATTTATAAAATTGGTAAGATATGAAAATTCCGATATCGCAGCAAACTTTGTATATGTTTATAAGATATAATTATATCAAACAACGCTCCAAATTATGTGACGTTAATGTAATAACAAAATATTGTTTCGAAAATTTAAAAGTATCTCCTCGACACGACCTAAAGTTATCATTTTAGAGAATGTTATCGAATATTTTGCAAATATAGCGTGCGCATATTATAATTTATCTAAACTGCTGAGATTTTAAACTTATCTCACGTTTATCACGTACGTAAGAACTTATTTTTAAATCGATTTCAAAATAAGGTATTTTATATCCGCACGTAGTGATAGATATTTTAAATAATCAAAATTAATAGATAATTCTTAATGTCCAAATAAACAATTCCTGTACATCTGTAGTCATCTACCGATCATACGAGGTTTGTCCGGAAAGTACGTATAAAAGTTTTTTAAAAATTTTATTTTACAATTATTCAGGTAAATCAATTTTATCCCCTTCAAAGTACTCCCCCTGTGACATAATGCACTTGTGCCAACGCCGTTTCCACTGTGAGAAGGCTCCTTGAAAGTCCTCTGGTTGTAGGTTTCTCAGCTGCCCCGTCGTAGCTTTTTTTATCTCATTTATGTCCCCCAAATGCCGCCCCCGAAGTACCAATTTGGTTTTTGGGAACAAGAAGAAGTCACACGGGGCCAAATCCGGCGAATAGGGGGGTGTTCGGTCACCGTAATGGAATTTTTACTCAAAAACTCACGGACAACAAGAGAGGTGTGGGCAGGGGCATTGTCGTGGTGAAGAATCCAACGCCCCTCTCGCGCCAATTCTGGACGAACTCGTGCCACACGAGCTTTGAGGCGTCTGAGCACATCGACGTAGAATTTTCCATCAACTGTCTGGCCTGGAGGGACGAATTCTTGATGGACAATCCCCCGAACATCGAAAAAAACAATCAACATTGTCTTGACATTTGAGCGGGATTTTCTTGATTTTTTTGTTCGTGGTTCCCCGGATGTCTTATCGAATTAGATCGGCAAAAATTTCACGGCCATTCTTGCCGAGTTTCGAGAGAAACTTGATTACGACGCGCTGCTCTTCAACGGAAGCGGGCTCCATGCCGACGGGGTTTCGTTAAGAGGTAACTTCACAGATGGCGTGACAAGCCAGTTCGCACCGCACGGCGGTCAGACCAGAACTGAAGCATTGTTAGGGACATAAGGAAGGGGTCCTGCGCTTACCTGGCCTCCCCACTCCTCTTTCTCGCATTCCAGAACACTTTTATACGAACTTTCCGGACAGACCTCGTACATGTTCTCATTTCAAAAGTAGATGTTGCTATATCCAGTAGTATTTGGATTTTTTTTTGTTACTTAGAATGACAAACAAGCTGACAGCCCACCTGATGGAAAGTGGTAACCATCGCCTATAAACATGAGCTAGTACCATGGACATAACATAGTAGAGTAGTAACTGTTTCGCCCATGATAGTATTTATATATTATGTTTTTCTACCTCTAGAATGTGTTAACGGGCGTGACTGGAAATTCAAGCGGCAAGTCCGCGCAGCCGGCGACGTGTCTGCTGGTGTTACTGCTGTCGGTGGCCCTGGTGGCATTGCCGTCTATGCGAGATGAGATCCGTCCCAGAAGCACGGAGCAGGTGGCCACGTCGCCTGCCATCACACGGGCACTGCTCTCGGCTACCAACAGTAAGTAATCAACTAGCTGTATCCCGCGGTTTTGTCTGTGTATCAATATGTAAAGTATCCTATGTGTTAGGATGTAACCACTTTACCAAACAGACCTTGTACAAAGGATGTCTGCTTGACTTTTGCCCCACTCATGTTTTTACTTTGAAGCTGCAGTGTTGCAGTTGCACAGCTGTATTTCGGTTAGAAGGGTGGGATATGACAGTGAATTTACAAGGCATAATTGATAAACATTATAAATGACACCAATTTTCTTAGTCAACTCGGGAAAAATAATACTTATCTAGACTATGGCTCCTAAGTGAAGAGAGCTGACTGTTTAACGGATCGGCTGACGGCCCACCTGATGGAAAGTGGTAACCGTCGCCTATAGACATGAGCAGTGCCATGGACATAACAGAGTATACTGTTTCGCCCATGATATCCCCCATGCGTTGCCATTCCTGAGGACTCAGGTGTTATTCCTCTATACCCAGTAAATTCACGCCAACATATTTATATAATATAACATATATGGTTTCGATTTCAAACTAAAATATTGCCACAGTCCATTGATTTGTACTACGTCAGATTAAAAAATGAATAGACATTGTTACCATTTCATGCAATTATACAGCTATTGCCCCACAGTTTGATGAGCTTGGCTAACAATCAACTTTCTCTTACGTAATATTATCAAGTTTTTGATCATAAAAAAAGATTACGTAATGCCAAGCTGAAATGTCGTAATTCTTTTTAGTTATATTGTTTTTTCAGTTTAGTTATATAAGTATTTATTGCAAATATACTTCGAATTTAAAACGTTTTGTTACTAAAACCAGAATTCCAAAATCTAAATCAGCATTATCATCTTACCCTTATTTATATTATTTTTTGTGGTCGGAGTGTTTTTCTCATTCATTCTTCTGTATCAGCAGTCCTTTCCGCATTCGCTTTTGGGTTACGTCCTAGCCCTATCGTAGTCTCTTTTTTAACCTATCCATATGAGTTCCATAATATAACAAAATATTATTACACCACATTTACATCGGACCTATTCAATGGATCTACACAAAGGGCTCTACTCTCGTGATTTTATTATGCCTGTGACTCATACTTTAGACAACTATGAGTATTTTTTTAGTCCTTTTGTCCAAACAATATAACCATTTTTATCTTTTGTCATTTTTTTTACTAAAAGTGGCATGCCACACATTTTCTTACCTTGGATTCTTTGCTCAATAGTCACTTGCGACCTGGCCCTTTTTTTTTAATAAAATTCAGTTTATTTTACTCACTGATAATGTAGCTTATTGTATGTTTTTTTTTTTAATTAATTAAATTTATCCATTACAAACATATAAAAAAATCTTTTCTTATAATATTAGTTTAGATGTTTGTATATGTCATTGTGCTTTTAGTTCGGTAAACCATTGAAAATATATTATATTATTATTATATTAATGAGATACATGTTTACAGAATTAACGCTCGATGAGACGGTCATCGACGACGGTGAATTCAACATGGAGGAACTAATCACGTTCAACCGGCCACACTCGGATCACGATTACCAAGTTGTCAAGAATTTGGATACCCTTAAGGTACTACCGGCAGGGTACGTCGATCTGCCCATTGATGAGGACTGGCCACCGAACTTAAAGAAACGCATGAAAAAGCTCGAATTTGACTATGATAATGGAAAAGATTACTTGCCACCGATTGTTAGAGAGGAGAACTACGAGAACCTATACAAAACAAATTCAAAGATGCATACCGACGACGACAACATTTATAACATTGAAGACAATGGATTTCTGACGAACACCTTCATCTCGACAGGAAGGAAACTTGGGGAGCTTCTAGACGTATTCCCTCCGATTCCTGTCAAAAGCGAGGACATTGTCGTCGAGGAGATCTCAGATTACGACACCAGAAATATAACTGAAGTCAAGAGCTTTGTCGTCAACAACACGTCGAATGAGTTTTAAATCACCGCTACACAAAGATTCTATATATTTATATCTTTATTTTATTATTATTTTTTTACCATATAGATGACTATTTTATTATTATTTGATGACAATTTTTATATTATTACGAAATTATTCCAGCATTTTAATTTGTATAAAATGTTGATGGTATAATTGTCAGTACATAGAAAAGTGTACTATTGGCACCCTTTTTTTCTATGCAATATGTAAGATTTTATAATTATGTACTTTTGTGTTATGTTAGTGAGATAGATGATGAATGCTTTATATACGTATTTAAGTCAGACTTATTTCAAGGAGAGTTATGAATATTAAATAAATTGTCGGAAGTTGTACGCATGTTGTTAAGTATTTATTTGAGACATCAAAATTAATATAATAAATCAGAGATATGTTTATTTTGCAAATGCTTTGTTATGATAGTTTAGGTTAAGATCGTTTTAAGTTTCGCATTACTATTTTCGGTGCAATTATTGTGTAAGTGCTGATATATTCACTGTTAAGTTAATTAAGTAATATGATTAAAGATTTCAAATTAGTTCCACGTCCTTAAAAATTACTTAGGATTTCCAGTTGTCGTAGGAATGGAACAATTGAATTCTGATACAGACGTTAGTACCAATACACTCTGAAAGTAAACATTCGTTTTTTAATTATTCCCTTAGCCTATTCAACTTATCCTTTCCGCCTAAATCGTATTTAGAACTATTATTATTTACTTTTTACGTATAGTTGTGTAGATGACTTCATAATTAAAACAAGTAAATTCCATGCCTACTAGTACAGGATCCATTATCCAGTTGTAGTATGAGACGATTACGCGTGAGTCACGGTATAAAAATATTTAAATGTTACCAATCCTTGTGGGCTGAACAAGCGAGTTTTGCAGACAATTTACAGATACATAACTAGTAGCAGCTTTGCAATCCGCACAGACAATGAATGTATTCACATAGAACGAACAGGAATTTGAAGAATTGTTAGTAGAGATGAAACGGATATCCGGTAACTATCCGATATCCGGATAACTACTATTCGGCCGGATAGGCATCCCGCCGAATTAAAATACACAATAGTAAATGAATGTAATAGAAAGAAAATAATTTAATTATTACTCATACTGCACTAAGAGCAAATTATGGTGAATAAATACTAATTTCTCTTCATTGAAAGGTGGCAAGCGGTTTCGCTTCTCTTCATAAATAAGGCTAGCTTCAGAAAGTTTTTCGCTGTACACACTGCTGCATGATGCTGAAAGATAGATTTTGGCAAACTTTGTTAAATTTGGGTATTGTTTGGTGCCCACCAAGAATAAGTCATGATTGCAATCAATTCGCACTGACATAGCCGGATATACGGCCACATGGTTGCTGAATAACTGCTATGCATTTTATCTGTAATTGTTAGTAATTCTAATTACCGTTCCCATAATATACCCTGTCAGGTCAATCTCAACCCCTAGAGTCCATCGTACTGAATACTATGGTTTTTTTATGCATCTTAGAATGGCAAACAAGCTGACGGCCCACTTGATGGAAAGCGATAAACGTCGCCTTTGGACATGAGCAGTACCATCGACATAAAAGGGTACTGTTTCGACCGTGATACGCCCATGCGTTGCTATTATTCCTGAGGATTAAGCTATTATGCCTCTGTACCCTGTAAATTCACTGCCATATCCCAAACCGAAAGTTATGCAACCAACTGCTTCACGGTTGAAACACGAATGGGACAGAAGTACCCAAGCAAACGACTTTTGTAGTCTCCCACTGGTGTATTAATCACGATGGACTGACTTGCCTTTTCATTTCTCACCCATCATCACTCACTGATGTACACACCTGGGTGTATGTACATCAGTGATGATCCCGGGGTACCCCACTAGCACAAAAATTATTCTGTATTCGAATGTCATTCGATATCCACATCCAGTGAGAGTCTACTATAGGAAACCATTATTAGGGAACTGTTCTTAACTCTTCAGAGCTGCATTGGGACAACGGGTTATTAGGTAAAATAAGTTAAAAAGAATAAAACTAATATCTTATAGTAAGCTTTATTTATGTAATTATGAGTTAACAATTTTTTCGATTTTCCGATAGGTTGTGACCTTAACTGAATATAACTCGAATTGCGTATGCAAAATTTTACCGTACATCTCTTACAGAAAAAAATAAACACTGAGAACTGTTTCTAAGAATATTAATATTTATTTTTATACTTACAATAAGAATTCAATTCAGTTTCAAAGCATCATGTATTTATTATACATAAAGTTAATAATATGTTTGAAAAACTTCCTCGAGCGTCCACAAGCCCACCGACTGAACATGACTTACTTAGTAAGCGAAATTTCAAATTATAATTTAAATTAACTATAGGGCGATACAGCCACGAGTCACCGGTCCGGCGGCTGACTGCGCCGCGCTAGTAGGCTTCTCGCTTGCCATTCTACACACCAGAAGCCTTCGCAATTGATATAGCATCCCTTCTAGTTGAAGTATGAAAAAAACAAAAGGTGCATTTATAACGTTAATCGTGACATATCTACAATATTACAAATCAATGCTGGTTGATGTGAATGCCACCGCTAGTTATGATTATTATACATGTATCCGTGTTTACTACAAACATACCACATCCACCAACACAGTTTGTACTGACATAACTTTTAGACAACAATTTACTTGTTATTTATATTAAACATACACGGAGAACGTCCGCGGCCGCAGATCACACAATTTGACTTTGAATTTCTCAAATAATCTAATTTGATTATTCTATCTAGCAAATAGAAAGTAACAATTAGGTACAACTATGGTATTAATTATCTTTTATAGACTTACATGGTTATTATTTTCGACTGTATTGCAGTGATTGTATTAATATTAACGATTTATTTTATATGCGAATTATTACATACTTCAAACAGTCCACAATAATTTATCAAAAAATCTTTATGGAACCATATTAAATTTCCTTTTACATATAATACTTGCATTATCTATTTTTTTTTTTCACTAAAAATATGAAAACGACACAACAAGATGATTACGATAAACACATTCATACTTAGCCAAAATGAATCTAATGCTGGGGATATAATGTGTCGACTATGTAACCGTGACTAATACAAAATATCAAATGCTAGTGCGACCAGCATAATGCCCTATCTGTGGGTACTATTGTAAAGTATGACGTGAATAACATTTTTGAATTTCGAACGAGGCATTATAAACTTTGGTGCTAAGTCAGTCATCCAATTCTGACGTTATACTGAGATAATAAACTAAGGCATGCCTCGTTGAAGAATTCACAACAAAATCGACCCTCAGCATGTCGGTACAAGCGACCATTTGTTCTCCTACAATGACAGGAATAGCATCACGCTGATTAGAATGACATTTAAAAATCTTAATAATACACAAATCACTCTTGTGAATCCATGCCACCAGACCAAGCAAAAATATACAAATGTGTTTTCTCTAAGCTGTACAATTTATACACCAACGCAGCCACTGTTTGCGGCTGTTAAAATTACAAGTAAGTATATGCAGAGCGTGGCGTGTGACATTCGTAACTCAGTCTATTCGCAATCCGACTCCAATCTTAAAAATAAACTACAGAAATCAGCCCCAATAGTCAATATGCACCGTGGACACAGCACGGCCGCCGTCCGCACAACAAATGACTAAAAACAACGTAAACAGACGTAATACTTTGGAATGACTGCGCCGACGACGGCCGTGATCGTAGTAGCATGATACATTTAAATAATGATAAGTCACAGTTCCGGCCCTACGGTTATTACAGTGAACGGAACATCTCACATGAACAGAGTAGTTATGAAGAATGAAAATTGGTAAAAGGCGCCAATATTTATACATATCCTCCGTTCTAGAACCAACCACGGGCCGGCACTGTTCAGTCACGAGACTAATAGTGAAACAACAGTGATTAGCGACATCAAATTGACATGAGCCCATACTTGTTTGCACCAGGTGAAATGTTTCGTTCAGTCTTGTAGGAATACCTATGTAGTCAGTTCACTCGGGACCCGATGCGTTACATCGATTGAAACGAATTACAAGTTAACATTTTTGTAATGAATTTCTACACAAATTATTGCACGTTATACATAACATTTAGGCGGGATCCTCGCTACAATGCCGGTCTCGGTTCACTAGCTCCAGACTCAGTATGGTCAGCACAAAGTTCGAGATTGGAATTAATAAAAACTTGATTGCAGCCGATTCTGAGGTGCCATTCAATTTGACATCACAGCGAAAATTTTATTTTAAAGAACTATTTTGCTAATAGATTTAAGTCAAATTAAAAAGTGTAGTTTATGATAGTTCTTAAAATAGTATTTTTGTGAAACTATTAAATTAAAATAATAGGTTAAGATATAAATTTTCAGAATCGACCCCATTGTTTCTTACGTAATAATATTTTAGCAGACCAAGAGCGGACCGAGGCCGGTACAATAGTGTGGATCGGACCTCACATATCGATATATGTCAATATGTCACAGTGATCAACGAACCCTTCACTTTCATACTGGAAAACGACTGTTCGTCACAAAATAAGTATTTGATAAAGAACAAAGGTTCTCTACTTATTGCGTGGAATTACTAGTTGTTATCTCATTTATTAAAACTATAATTATAATATAGGCATAAATAAAGATAGGAAATTTAGCATCGCTACAATAAGGGGGACAATTTAAATAATTATCATAATAATAGGCATATGTATATCGCGCAAACGGAACTTAGTAAACAATGACTAAATAAAGTTAAAATCTAAAATACGCATACAACCGGTGTGTTGAATATTACCTGCATAGTTATGATTGCGAATTGAGGCGTCTTATACAACCACGTGAGGCCAATGTTGCCCGTATAAATATTGTGAAATATCTAATATCGATATTGACGCCGCATTATACATATATATATATAATTTAACTAAATTGCTCATTAAAACCTCACGAATAAGAAACGTTTCACACATAAAACAGTGTCACAGCATCTATTGCTCTTTCGTGTATAATCATATTTCTTTGATTAAAAATAAATTGTTGCCATTATGCAATCGACTTATGATCCAACATACATCACAACCTATATTAACAATATATACTTTCCGCTTATTGTGTGCAATATTCAACGCACCGTGCACGAAACAGACTTAACAACACACATAAATTTATTATGTAGTCACGATACTCTCTAGGGTATGGTAAGGTAGTAAACTTACGTAACAAAATCATATACATTCACGTGAACGAATGACGTACAAAAATAACATTTCACTGCTCCATTTATAAATGAGACAAAGCGATACACGACTACTAAGTATTTTTATAACTACAGCTGAATAATAATGTAATGAAGTAATGTACAAATCTATAGATTTGCTCGAGCTATGTGTTGGAATGGACACCATAGGGGGGACGCGCCGCGACGAGGTAATGTCGCGTCCCGCAAGTCATAAATGGGATATCGTGATTTCGATGAAAATGAACTATTTCGCTAAGGACGGGAACACAAAACAAATATTCTGCCAACCGCACCCGGCCGTCGTAGGCATTGGCGATAAATAAATAATGTTACTCCTAATTTGATAAGACCCTTTAGTGTTGTAACTCGATTGTTTAATCGTACGACATTACGTAATTTAATCGAGTTATCATAAATCGAACGACCAACTAAAACAAACAGCAACACTTGACAGTAAAGTTGTACGACTGATCGATATTATGTTAGCAAATTAATTGACATCCGATAATTCGAAGTGCTCTGTGATCGAGGCGTGCTGCTATCAAAATGCAAGTGTATCACCCGGCAGAGAGCAACGTTAATGTCAATTACAAATGTCTGTTGATAACTACTATTTAAAACAATGGAAAATAGTATGACAACAGATAGCAAACCGCGCGTTATCGAAGAATTTTCGCCCATATGATTCTGCCACTGGATTCTGTAACTCAGTTACTAACAATTTTTCGTTTGAAACTTATTTAACAGCTGAACCGATTTTGATAAAATTTCTATGGGACCAATTTGTAAGTATATTCTTTCAGATAGAATAAGAATTTTCTAAATCGGTCTATAACTAACAAAGTTATAAGATAACAAACATAAATAACAGTTTTGTCACAAATACATAAATAATCGCAAAACTGGCAGTTTCAAACGAGAACTGTTAGAAATGGAGCTAAATAATTTAGCAGCTGTCTTTCGTTTGGTTATGGCAACACTGATGTGATATGCCTTTTAAACGATCACTAAAAACCTTTAAAACCCGACAGTAACCGTTATAGTTCATATAGCAATTGTGTTTTATTGTTATGTCGTATATATATAATATAATATAAAAATTAAATCAATATATAAAAAGAAAAACCTAATTGAAGAATGGGCTGTGTTGTTTACAAGATTAGATTATTAACTTGATACTTTGATACAATTCATACAGTAGGCGATATTTAAAACCAAGTGGAAACATCTTTCTACTTTTATCTAAATTTATACACTATACAAACTATAACGTAGGAAAACAGGTTAGAATCCTGTAAATGCTTCAAATGAATTCATTTTTATTAATTACAAATTAGTATACCAATAATAATACAAATATTATTTACAAAACAAATCTTCCAATAATTGGAATCGTAGTCGGTACAAATAACATTTATTTTTCATATCCAGAATCGATACTTGTTGCAAGGACGATTAACATATTTCTTTGGCTTGCAATAACGTATCGACAGTGCACGAAAACAATTTATTCATAGATTTATCAACCGGACGTCTGCAAACATAAAGTGGGCTATAAAATACTATTTATTAGTTCACAATGCAGATTAGAATTGGTCTAGATTTCTTGTGCTATAAATATTGTCTATTTCAATAGAACTTAACAAAAATATAAATAAACGAATAATTGACCTCTAAACCATAGGATAGTGATGTCTTTTAGTAGTACAAACCGATAAATCGATTAAATATATCGATTTGTTACTAATTTCCTTTAGAGAGTGTTTCTGTGCTAATTTCAATAAAACTTTGTTACCTTTTCATTAATTTTGTTTTGTTCATTTTTTTTTTTTATTAATTGAAGCAAACTATAATATATACAATTTTAAATAAACCAGTTTGATATCTAACTATACATGTTAATACATTTAAATAAATCAGTAAAACAATTTCCAAAAGTCGAAACGTTTAAATATATTTGACAATCCGAATAAAATTGAAACTTATAAGTAGTCGTTGAAACTCTAAGTCGATGACATACTAACATCTCTAAAACTACTAGAGTTGTTAGTATGAAATTTATTTCTTTATAAATGTGATAGTTTGTAAAGATGTCGTTCCAATTGTTGGATATTTGTTACTCGATGGTGTTCAATCACGGATTTGAATTACATTGGAATGGTAACCTCGCTAGCGTTATCGGTATACACTGGCGGAGTACTAGCAAAGGATGATGAGGTCAAATCAATTTACCTATTGTGAGAAATTCACAAGAAATTCACACGAACAAACCCATGAGTTACAACTAGAACATAAAATTGAGAGGGACTACTGTAATTTTTGTTTCAGGATTGTCACGTTGAAAAACATCGGCAGGTTTATCCAGGAAATATATGAAATTATTCCATACATATTTCTTTTAATTTTCTGTAATATATTTATGTAACCAACCTCCTAGATCAATGGCAAATGGAGTTATAATTAGGTTTCTGTTGCTGAATGCATGATGTAGAACAAGACAGCAACATTCAAGGTCTTCTACTTTTTATGTAACGTAAACGTATATAACGATATAATTATTTGCCACTTATTTAAAGAATCAGACGATTGTATTGTCGTTACTTACTACATAACATTTAACTTTAATCCATTTATGAACTGTATTTATTAAATTAACCTTTTGTATGTTTACAGACTTCACAGTTGTGTAGATATTTAGTAATAAATTAGAATTGGCTACTTTGACGCTGAGGTAACCCTAAGACCAAACTTAGAACACGTTTTCTATGACAATATCTAATAAATTATCCACATTGCCATATTATAATCTTAAGTTGATCCAAGTGTAGAAGTGTGATAAAGTAAGTTGTTTAAACAAACTCCTGAAACCGTGATACTTATCACGCTAAAGCAGATTAGATCTAGCGGTGCGTCGATACGAACGTTTCCTATTTATTTCCACAGTTTTCCTTTACTGTCACTTACATGGTATATATTAGTAGTTGGTTAAGTCACACTGACATCTTGCAACATCTATATTATGTGTCAAATATCAAAAACAAATTTCATTATTTCTGAGTGATCTTTAAAAAGGTTTCTACAATTGCCTTGAAACATTCATCATACTTAATGGCCTGGCCAGAAGAGGGACAATCAGTTTACCTCCGCTGCTCAGGTTTTTAAATTTAACTAGATATAATTGTCATAATCAACTAAATAACAATACATACACACGTATATTGCAAGTACATGGTTTAGACAACAAGAGAATTTTGACATGTAATACAGACGTTTCCAGATTTACAATATAAACTCTCTCGAGTTTCACCAGTGCGGCAATATCACAGACATGGATATAAATAGATAACGTAACTGTACTTCACATGCTAACATTTTCACTAAGTACATTTAAAAGAATCTACTTGTATACCACAGTTAAGTTACGGTTCGGAGTTTCCACATAAAATTTATAGTAGAGTTGAGATTATTTATTGACTTAAAAAACTTACAGATTAATTTAAGTGCAATCGAAATATAAATAGAATCAACGTTATTTACATACTGGGACATTTCTTCCATATCTTAGCTGTCAAATAAATAAACTAAGATATAGTAGAATATTTTTGTAATTCAGAGATTTATTATTATAAAAAAAAAAGTTATAGAGGTAGGCAAAATTATTTTCCTACAGATCGTACTTTTCAAAATGACAGTTGACAGATTCAGGTCATTGACGTTTTATTGTTGTTTTAATAGCTTCAATAGTGTAGTCTATTTCTATCTATGTCTGTGGGCCGTATGAAGAGGTTTACGCTTACGCGTGTGAACGCCGGTGGCAGGAGGGCGGGCGCGGTGCGGAGGGGGCGCGGTGTATGGTATGAGCGGTCGCGGGAGCGGGGGCGGGGGCGGGGGCGGGCGCGGGCGCGGGGGCGGGTCACGTACGCTCGCGTCACTTGCCCGCTCGCGCCGCGCACTTCTTCTTTTTGCGCTTGAAGAAACAGCAGCACCTGGAATAGACGGATTGCCTGCATGACGATTTACAGAGTCTGCCATTGTTCAAGTTGATACGGTATATTTGTAATAGATCATAATGCTCGAGTTCAAGCTCGAAAACGGTTAGCGAACCGTTGCCATTAATTTAATATCTATGAATTCGTCGTCTAATATCTATGAAGACTTACAAAACAGTTAGCTTGTTTGCCATTTCAATAAATTAGTATAAAATATTAATTCAATCTTATTATTCCATAATATTTTATAATTATAATTACTGAAAAATATAAGTGAAAGAATATTTAAGATACTTAGAAAATAATGTACCTAAAGATTAAAAAAAATGTAAAGAGAGGTCTTTAAGGATTACATATATTACAATGTAGGAAAATTGACATAACTAAAATTTTTAATTATAAAAAAATTAATACATGTGAAGCGATGACTTTTTAGCGATGTGAGGAAGGGAAAATGTATATTAGTACATGAATGACAGATGATAACGATGTCTAGGGGATAAAAAATTCCCAAAAACATGAAATAAATAGTAATAAAATATACGAAATGCAACTTTTTTAACTCTAGTATCCAAGTCACCTACTTCAAACGAATATACTCATACGAGTATATTCTGTTGTTGTTGTTTTTTTTTATACCACGTATTTGGACTAACAAGCATACAGCCCATCTGATGGTAAATGGTTATTGTAGTCTATGGACGCCTGCAACACTAGGCGTGTCACGTGCGTGTTAGCGACCGTTATGTATAGTAATAAAATCACGAAGACATGAATCAATTTTGTTTTCTACTAGATCGAGAATGAATCTTAATAAACGTATGAATTACGTAAAAAATTAAAATTAACATATTAAGAAAAAGGAAAGGATAAATAAAATGCAACTCAAACGGTTCAAAATATATAAAAAGGATTATTATTTGTCTTTGTTCGTTTTAAATTCAGGGATGCAGTACATACACACTATATAACTCTGTCGTGAGTCATACAATATTGTATTGCATTATTATCCTACAAACAAGGTGTTTGTACAGTTGGTACGCTGACTTGGTGTCTTATTACAACTGGACACTTAATAATCTAATGATTCAAGTTGTTTGGAAAAATAAAATAAAATGGACGTAAAAACGAAAATAAAAAGGTCGAATGAAACATAAATCGAGCGGTTTAAAAAAACTAAAATGAATAAGGTATCCATAATAATTGATGTTTAATCAATGGGTACTTAATGGGATTATTGTATGTAATTTTAAGAAAAATGAAAAAGGGATGCATTAACGAAAATTAAAGGACAAATTAAACGCAAATTGAGCTGCTTATGAAATAAATAAAAAGGAATCGATAGAGTTGGACCATCAACTTGGTGTCTTAACACCAGGAAACCAAGATTTCCTTGAATAAATGATTAAATAGTATCATAGTGTAGAAAACTATCACCTACCAGTCGTCCAACGGACTCGTCTAAGTAGAAAAACGCGTCCTGAATTATCACATGGTAATTTAGGACGCATTTATGATGTCACGAATGATTACATACTCATTCGTGACATTGTAAAGGCTTTGGACTACTGGTTCTTCCTTATCTTATGGTTGTATTAAGAGAAATAAAAAGGATGTATTAAGGAAAATGAAAGGATAAATGAAAAGCAACCCAAGCGGCTTAAAATAAATAAAAAGAAAAAGGTATCCGTACAGTTGGAACACTGACTTGGTGTCGTCGATCACATCGACTTCGTGCTGCTGCTGGGTGATGGGGGTGTTGCTTTGCCCAGCCGTGGGGTCATCGGCCCCCAGCTCCCCGTTGGTCGAACTCACCACCTGTGCAAACGGCCATGTGTATTTTTAATTATAAAATTAAAAAAAAAAAGTTTATAAACATTACTCTTCTGAACAAAATCAATTTGAACACCAATTAATGTGTAGTAATTTTTTTGTATGGATTAATTATGTATAAGTTATTCATTTTCTCCTTAATAAAATTAATTTGAATTTCATAATTGTTTGTATGAATATCAGATTTGTTGTTAAATTAATTATTAAATATGACAAGTAGCGATAGATTCTTATAAGATTATTAAAAAGTATTTAAAAATTAATTAAATAAATACAATCCCGAAATATTTGTAATCCATTAGGAACAATTTACATGTTATGTAATCACAGATTATTCGACAAATATTATAAAAATGAAAATATGATAGGGTATTTATTTTTTAATGATTATTTTTCGGATGTTTATTAGTCAATTTCGAACAAAAGGTTGGATGGATTTACACAGATAATAACGTTTAAACACGATGATTAATATAAAGGAGTTCGAATGTGCTGGTTATAACCATATTCGAATACTTATAACCGGGTAATCAAGCGGATAAAGCCGCAGGATACAACTAGTATTATAATTTTATACAGTATATTGGTACTCAGGTAAACAGAACATTTGCTCTGTACAACATTTTATGTAACATAACTTTTAATAATATTCATATTAATATTTACATATTTTGTAATTTTACATTTTTTGTTATTAAATGTATTCTGATCATTGAATACATAGCTTATTGAATTACAATTTTCATAAATATTCTATTATTTGCATATTTATTTATTTTATAAAGCAAATAAATTAATATAATTCAATGAAATGTGTTCATTAAGAATAATATGTAACGAGTCTTGCTTACGACTAGGTGCATTAAAAAGCGATTAAGTTATAAGAGGTTATGTCGTTATTCCGGTTTCAATGTAATTATAACCGTGTAAATACAAGCACAACAACACAATTTAAACAATTGTACGATACAATAATGGCGAGAAACATGTAGGTACAGTCACACAGAATAATTTATTACTGTCTATAAAAAATATTCTTATTATTTTAAAACTATATTCATTTTTATTATTTTTTATTGTGTTTTTGCCGTTTCCGACAATTGTTACTTCATCCGGAAGTCTTGTTCAGGGGTTAGTTTTTTAAACGTTTGGTATTATTAATATTACAAATATTTAGAAAAACATTAGACGTCAGAATAAAATATTTAAGCCAGATATAAATTTTAGAAAAATAAATATCTCACTTTAAATCAGATTTATGGACGATGGATGGAAACCATCTACATTGCAATAATATTTGTTCGAACAACCCAAAGAGAGCGAAAAGACACAATAATTTATAAATAGCTAAGAAAGTAAATTTTTCATTTAGAAGTTGGCTGGACAATACCATCTTTTTCATTATATTCTTGAATAACAAAATTAAAAACATAAGAAAAATTATGATATCATTTTTTTTTATTTCCTAGTTGGCTATAATAAAAACATAAAATTCAGTTATAGTATCAATGAAACTGTATTTGCTTTTATAACAATCAATTAATGATTTACTTTGTTTCATGAAGCACAAATGAATTATCAAAGAATTTTACGAACTTTTATATACAAAACGCAGTCTGATATATTACTCATCACTTATATTATGTAAATAAAGTGTTTTTCAGAATTGTCATTATGTATAACCGGTAGGTTTTATATTAATCTTAATTTAAGTTCATGATTTATTTTTTGTGACTGTACATGAACGTTCACAGATGCGTATACAGTGCAAGTTTATAAGGGCTTGATAGTGCATACTAAATATTAAAAAGAAAATTACACACTAAAGAAATTATTCTTAAATTTATTACTATTAATTAACTAAACGTCTAATAAAGCGTGAATATTTTATGTATTATTAAGTATTATTATAATTAGTTTGATATTTATTTCTAGTAAACATATTGAGAAAAAAAAGAAATGTGAAGAAAATGAGACAGATTTCGTTGATCGTTGTGGTTGGTGAAATAACAAGAGTCAACGAATTGTTATAACAAACAATTACTATATTAACATGAGATATTAAACAAGACAATCCTAGAGGACGAAATTCAAGTATAACATAATATTATATATAGGGATGGGGGGGGGGCTTGTTAGTAATAAAGACTGAGAATCCCATTGCTAGCAATATACTCAACCAGGTCGACCTCCTTGCGGTTCCCTCTGGAAACTATCATGGTTAATTCCTGATGAATTCATTATGATGGGCTCCGCCAGCGTATCCCATTAGCGCAGGCGGAGTTACCATACCATTTTCACCCATAAAATAAAAAATTATATATAGGTGCATGGAGGATAATATCTAATCGTATTTTCTATTGCACCATTACTTAATTAATTTAAAAACTTTGCACATATAACATATTTATTTATAAATATTTATATTATATAATTGTGTATTCATGTAAAAGGAAAACCTTTCAAAGATATGAAATTTTATACACGAGTTCTTTATGTGCTGAAATGGGCAAAAAGGAAAGATTTTTGTAGATTTCACAAACAGTATATGTAACACCTTCATTAAATTAAAACAATGACAGTCCGAGTCTAATGGTCTCAAGTAGTGGCTTAACATGGGCACAAGAGACTGAAGAACTAAAAAAATAAGATTTTCAAAAGAGTGGAATTTCAACTGACTGTGATTTTATTTGAAATAAAACGTGAAATATAAATAAATTTGTATTTTAGCAGAGGTACTAATTAGTAAAAAATTTGAAAGCTAAATCCTTTTTATACATTAATATAACTAAATAAATTTCATTTTTTTTTATAAATTACACTGAACTATTACAGATGAAACTTGATACACATGTGTAACTTTAAATATCAAGGGGGAAAAGGATTGTTAGCAATGGAGTTTGACAGCCCCATTGCTAGCAATATACCTTATTAGGTCGACCTCCACGTGGTTCCCCCTGGAAACCATCGTGAATAATTCTTGTTGAATTCGTCACGATGGGCTAACTGACCTACTACATCTTCACCTATCATTCTTCACTGGTGCCCCGCCGGTGTATACCGATAGCGCGGGTGAGGTTACCATTCCATTATAATTCATTTAAAAAAAAAAATCTTTAAATATCAAGTAAGAAACAAATTAGTATGAAAATAATTAAGTTAATAAGGTTTATATTGAGTATAAGACATAATTAAAAAAACTGTAAGTTTATGAATACATTAAATATTTTATTAAGATGACGTTGGCACTTTTTCCCCGCTGCGTAGGGGATCTGCTACGATTAAATTAAGACAGATTAAATTTTTTTATTCTTTGCAGTGATAAACGCATTTAGAAAGCGATAGAAACAGAACTAGCTGCACAAAATTGGCATAGCGGCATCGAGAAACTTCATGAATGAATATTGGCAGTGCTAAGTTACACGAAGCGTCATGCAAACAAACACACAACGGCTGCCGCAAAATATAAACTGACCGTCGTCAATGATCCGGGAAATTTCACATACCGAAAATGTTTATTCTTCAACAGCTAAAAAATAAATACACCAATATACATTCACAATTTACATAAAAGGAAATTATAACGTTGCGTAAATAATTACAACTCTATACAATAACGTATAAACAAAGTTCATGCACATACAAAAATGGTGATTCTAAAAACGTTTCAATCCTAATACTGAATTCAAATAATTTACGAGTAGGTGAATATTAAAGTGTTGACAATCATAAGAACTACGTTGTACTAATAATAAATTACTACAACTAAAGCTTGACCAAGAAAATAAAATGGCTGTCATGAGAGACTTATTCCAATCTTTTTATATATAGCATAAATAAATTACTACTCGTTTATTTTTTATATCGATTATTATAAAAAAAAAAAAACTAATTTCTAATGCAATTCTAACCAACTAGTTCTCAGAATATCCGCATTAAATTTAAAGGTTTTATTTTCCTGGTTAGACCTTACATTTACTAGTATAATATATTTATTTTTTGCACTATGTTTTATAAAGTAAATAGAAACATTTACAACATTCAAATCTTGAGACTTAAATCCATGGGTAAGTATAATAAAATTAATTCAAATAATTCATTAATAGTGTAGTTTTTTTTTTATCATCGGTAGCAAACAAGAACCACTAACTATACAAAATTTTCAAGACGCAGAATGTCTACTTGATGATAAAGATCCCTAACTTTTTTTTAATAATAAATGCACAAACTCCATATTGCGCTTTTATAAGGCACATTTCGAATTAAAGAAGGAACAATAATACATAACATAAATAAATAAATACAACTACTACCTCGTACTTCAAGAATATCTACGCCTACTTAAAGATGTAAGACTATGTTCAAAGAAATAAAAAACAGCAACAATTACCTGAACGGATCCGTGTCTGTCCGCGGGTGTAAGATGGCCGGTCGTGAGTGGGGTCGCTTTGCCGCTATGGGGCCAGTTGCCGCCCGTATTAGCGGTGCCACCGGTGCCAGAATCTTTCACAGCCCCCTGTAATGTTTAAATTACTCATTATTATTTCAATCTAGAGAGCAGTTCATTGATTCTAACAGTACATATAGACGTTTATTTAAATCAATACTACAAAACTATTTTAATTATCACTTTCTTTCTAATTGAAAATTTAACCCAAAAGAAAAAGACAAAACACTTAAATAGTTAAAATAGGTTTTATAGAGATGTGACGTTTCTATAACAAAAGGGAAAATATTTATTTCTTGTTTATATGTAAAAATTAATAAAGATAACAACATACGAAGTATTTTAATAATACTATTGTTTCTATTGTAAAAATCCTAAGCTTAAAATTTTAATATATTAATATTTTTTGGAAAACATCCATGATGATGAAAATTACATATATCCAAATTTTTATGATGAAAGTGGGAAAAAGGTAGGTAACGAGGTCTCTCAAAATGCAGCTATGAATTTTCAAGCATTGATAAAAAGAACTGTAAAATAAGCAAAGTCTTGAATCTACTAGTCGAGTGTTTTAGGATTTTTTTTTAAACTGGATAGAGACAAGCATAAATTCACAAACTCACAAAAAGTGACAACGCAAAGTCGCTACAATACCCCCTTACTTATAAAATCTATTTGATAACTATATAAAAGTATAATGTATAATGCGTCTTTTGTAAGCATTAGTCTATCAAATTTAGCATCAAACAGGTTGCTTTTTATAAGCAAAGGGTTATATGGAACATCATCTGAGTGATTATATAATAGCACCACTATCCTAATATTAATTATATACATATATCTTAATATAAGAATTTCTTGTTTAATACATGAAACTGTTACTTAACTTTTTGGCAATCCATCTTTGATATAACCACACAAAACTCATACGTTTCGGTTAAGGAAACTAGCATCAAAAACTTAAAGATTTTAATGAGATTATATTTCAACGTCATTTTAATGAAACTGTAGTTATAACAAAAAACAGATTTAAAATAAAAACATACGTCACACATCAAACACTCTCATCCAAACAACCCTCTTTCACTTGCTTCATATGCATCAATTTATTCATAAAAATTCATTCGTTACGAATTTACAAAGACTAAAACATATATACTGAGTACACAAATTTCATATTTATAATTTAATTAAGTAATATTTAAAATATATTACGTTCTTCTAATGTATCTTTTATGATGGTATATCCTGACCATGAATGTATATACAATCGTATATACACACTGTTGGCACACGTTGACATTATATTTATTTAATTTACCTATAATAATTTATGTATCAATTTTCAACAAAAGCTTAAAATACTATCTAGCATAATCATACACATAAAATCGTCCCTTCTACACATGAATAATGAGAAATTAATGAAAATAATGCTTTTACGGTGTAAGAGTTTGAGGCATTATTTTTAAATTTGGAAATAAATAAACCCCGCATTTAGAGGATTTTATAATCACATGCAAATATAGGAACACCTTTGTGTTTAATTAAAGAGACATTACTGACAGTTATTCTTTATTGAAAAAGCTTTTTATTCAACAAAATAGTTTCTCTGTTAAGATATCATTGCACGTCATTATACTGTATAATGTAAAATGGAATTGAATAATTTATCTCAATTATGTCCCGCCTTCATAAAATTAATACGAAGAAATTTAGAATGAAGTGTTAAGTATAGAGGTAGTTTAATATATTTGCATCATTTCTCAGCAGTTAATCGTTATGCTGAATGTATGTTATATTAAGTTGCTTGCTATACATAAAGAATTCAATTCCATTTTCAAAATCTTAGGGTCGTCTGAAGTAGAAACCCAAAGGGTTATGTGTAGGGAATGTCAATGGAGAACTCAGGCGACTGGCGTGGGACAGCGAACTAATAAAAAACTAATATATAATTAAAAGCGAACCAAACCTCTCCAGTAATAAGCGCCGCGTCATCGTCCTCAACCAAACCAATCATATAATCACACAAATCATCCTGCACCGACAAAAAAGCTCTGTAAGTTTGCCTCCATAAATGCGAAAATCGCGCGGCTCTTATAAAAGATAGTCTATTTTTCTATGCTTGGCACAATTTTGTTATATTTCTCATAGGAATAACTGATCATAACTGTGAATTAACAAATAGCTATAAGATGATTTTTGTAGTTTTAATTATATCATTGTAACTTTATGTGTTTTTAAAATTACAAAATTCTATTATTTTTGTTATGTAATTTTTGTTAAAAGTTATATAATTTTTTTATTCGATGTCTATACACGTATGTAACGGGAGATTAATTACTTTACTGTCTTTTGGCATTTCCAACAATTGTTTTGACTTTACTAAATTTTAGAAACAAAAAAAAATACTAAGACATTTACTTATTGTGCCAAGTATAAAAAAAAAAAACAGATTGTAGCAGCCTTGCTTATAAAACACGCTATGATCAGACAGCGATCAATCAGAGATAATCATTAACTTAATCTAATATAATAGGTATTCTATTATTTTTAAGGGTGAGAAATAAAAAAAAATCCTACATTAATAAATTTGATTCAATTTCACAACTCCTTAGACGGTTTTAAGGAAATTTCCGTTGCGTCTATAAGTAGTCATGCTATTCAATTGCTATTTTTAATAACTGTTCAAAGTATGATTGTACATTGTAAATGAGAAATTATATTATTTTTGTGTGGATTAAATTACTAATATATTTTGTATTTATAGCAACAGAGATATAATTAAGAAATATATATATATATATATATATATATATATATATATATATATATATATATATATATATATATATATATATATATATATATATATATATTTAATATCATAAAATTTGTGTCGTAACAAAAAGTTATACATATTGTTATAATTGCCGAAATATTCATGTCAATTAGAAAGGAGAGTAAACAAAGAAACATACAACAATAATAATTAGATTATGTTCCACAAAAATAAACCACCTTAAATTGTGACAAAAATAGTTATTTTGATCTAAAAACTACACTACTGATCCGATTATGACAAAATTTCTATGGCAGCAATCTTTAAGTATCTTTTCAAATAAAAAAAAAAAGAATTTTCCAAATCGGTTTACAACAGATGGAGTTATGAGATAACAAACAAAAAAAAAATACGGCCTAATTAAGAACCTCCTTGTTGACGTCGGTTGAAAATACACAGCACTAACCTTGTGAAATGGCTGATGTCTGTCGCGATTGGGTGACACGACGATCTCGTGGCCAGTCTGTATAGAGCCCACTGGCGTTGACTGAAACCATAAAATCACGATAAAAATCACATTACAGCGGACCTAAAATACAGGCTAGCGTCTACATAATAAACGTGAAACCAATAAAATGAAACGATAAATGTATGCATTAAAATATGAATTACGATGACAATTACAGGCTACTCATAGTTATATTGAAAATACGATATGACATTGAAATACAAATAAAAATACAATATATTTTTACTCAGAACAATTTCTAATATTTTCACTATTTACATTTGTTTTTCTAAGGGTAGCCTGGAAGACGATGTTTTCTACCAAACTTTTTTTAATACAACTTAGAATGGCAAACAAGCTGACGGCCCACCTGATAATAAGTGGTAACCTTCGCCTATAGACATGAGCAGTACCATGGACATAACAGAGTATACTGTTTCGCCCATGATACCCCCTCCCCATGCGTTGCCATTCCTGAGGACTCAGGTGTTATTTCTCTGTACCCAGTAAATTCACGCCATATCCCATCCTTCAAACCGAAACACAGCCATGCGAACACAACTGCTTCACGGTTGAAACACGAATGGGACAGAGGTACCCAAACAATCGACTTTTGTACAAAGTCTCCCTCTGGTGATGTGGTCAATAAAAATTGGACTCGACATTAGTTTATTATTATTTATAATTATTAATGCGTTATTTAAGCAAGTCGGGCCTCTAGGATACATTGATACATTAATACATTTAATTGGTTAGTTAGCATAACAGAATCAGAAATACAACAATCAGCACAAATATTTTTTTTCCAAAATGTCATATTTATATAATAAAAAATACCAAGTGTATATATTGTATAGCATATATAAAGACTATTATTTAAATTCTATTTGTAAGTGCAATCAAACATTTAATCGGTTGTAGAGGTCCTTGATACGTAATAACTAATCCGTTTTAATATCTAATTATATTGGCTATTCTAAATTTGAACTTCATAATACTTTATCAATAAATATATTAAAAAAAAAAAGTTTAACAGAAACAATAGATCAAATAACACAAAAATATTTTCGGGTGATGTTCACTAAAAAATTTGTTAATATTATGAAAAACCATACACACAATCACTAAGATAACGTACAAAGTGTCCGAATATGTACCTATGGTTATTAGTAACGATAAATATTTTAAATATAGTTTTTTAAATTATTCAAGTATAAGATTTATTGTAGGAAAACTGTTCATTATAATCTGAGCTTTATACTATGTTTCGGGTGACAGATGACAAAAACTACAAACAAAATTGCTAAAACGTAACTTATAAATTCAACAAAACATATTCACGCGAGAAACATTAGATTATAATTAAAACAATTGATTTCAAATCAAAGTAACAATTACATCATGATTATTAGATTAACTTCAACTGCAAATATAATATTGGGGGAAAGGGATTGTTAGTAATGGAGACTGAGAATCCTATTGCTAGCATTAATATCCAACCAGGTCGACCTCCTCGCGGCTCTCCCTGGAAACTATCATGGTTAATTCCTAACCTAACTGACCTGTTTTCATTCTCATCTATCACCCTTCACTGGTGCTCCGCCAGCGTATTCCATTAGCGCAGGCGGGGTTACCATACCATTTTCACCCATCAAAAAAAAACTGCAAATATAAATAGCTATAATAGAAAAATCGATAAAATATAAGCTGTCACTGTCACTCGCTTTATGCTATAATGGTACAGAATATAATAGTTGAGTAGTGTCTCGTTCGGACATTTTGCACGAGATTGGGCATCTAAGTATAATACATCTAGTAGAAGCAACATATATTATTTCAATAGAACTTAATAAAAACGTAAACAAACGAATACTCGACCCAACCACAAGACAGTGTGCTGAAGTCCAATAGTAGTGCAAATCTAAAATCGATTAATTCGATTTAGTGTTTTTGTGATAATTATAACAAATCTTGATTCAGTTCACTGACGCCTTATAGAAGTACAAAGAAAAACCCGATCAATTGCTTGAATATATGGCTTTGATACTAATTTCATATAGAATATATTTCTATAGTAATTTCCTTAAAATTTGGTTACTTTTTCAAAAAGTTCAATTGAAATAGATGACAGACACTAAGCACTAACCTTATCAGACTTATTTCTAACAATATTTGATGGCGGCGCGTTGCGTAATATTCGCATCACGTGAATGTTCGGGGGCTGCATCCAACAAAAGCGGAAAGCATGCGGCATGCAAAACACCATTGACAAGAGGTCAATCACTGCATACTCGAGCAGATAAGCGATGTCGGCTATACGTGAGCACATTTGTCGTTTTTGCACCATTGTTACATCATGCAGTTGCAGATTGCTAACATAATACATTTTGATAATGCAATAAGCGTTGCATTGTGTGCGACAGTAAATTTAAACAATGAAATACCTAATAGTTTATGTTATTTTTCTATATACGGCTCAATGAGTAAAAGAAGTATTTTTATAAAAATAGCAGTAAAAATTCCCTACTTTAAAAAGTTTTTTATAGTATTATGATTTATATACATATATAAATCATTTTTTTATCTATTTTTTAAACTACCAACGTAGTTTCAATGTCACTTAGGGTGTACATATAAAACTTCTGAAAAATACCTTAAATGAAAATAAAAGTTGTGTGGTTTAGAAGTAAGCAAAGAAGCAGTCAGATGTGGATAATTACTATATACTATAAAAAGATGGCCAAATTTAAATTTAGCATTTATTTTACTTTAATAAATATTAAATTCCTTTACTAATTGTGCCAAATATAGAAACACAGATTATAAATGTTTGTTACTCAATTACACATAAACGGCGACACAAATGTGAATAAAATTTGGTACATAGATACGACCATTGTTATTTACGATAAAAATAGATGTACATATTTTAAGTCACTCGTATATTGTGAATGAAAAGGGAACATTCGTACTAACAAGCATAAGCGCCATGAATGCGTTTTGGACATATTTTTGGGTAAAAACTTTGAATATGGAATTTAGCGTGGGAATTAATTATGAATTATACCTATAAACACTACAAATACCTAATAACACGTAGAAATGAAAGCTCGTAAATTTTAGACAGAATTATTGAGTTAGTTAACAATTTACAGAAAGTGCACTACAGTACTATATAAAAAAACTGCTTTTTTAATGGGATATTTTTTATTTTATTAAACAAATAATAAATATGTAATTTCTACTAATAGCAAGGGAATCTACGGTAGTCTATATGAAATAAAAAAAAAAAACATGAAATCATCATTTGTACGACAATACACGTCTGTATTGGATAAGAAATATGAAAATAAAAATATTTATCTCAAGACGAGAAAAAAAAGTGAAAAAATATAACATTAAAAAACTTACAATTGTAATTTTAGGAAATAACATTTTTTGTACAATTTGTACAATGTAAAAAACGTAGTCAATGTGGAATTCAGTTTTAGTATATTGTTAAAGAACGGTAGATACATTATAATCACCTAAAATAAAAAAAAATAAATGTCACACTTGTTAAAATGTTTAGTGATAAGCAAAAAGGGAGTTATTTCGAAAAGAAAAGACCACGTTTTATTTACCTAACTTCATGTGCAAATAATACAGGTTTAATTTGTATGTGATTTGCATTTTAATAACTAACAAATTAGGTTCCATTTGTAGCAAAATCAGTAAAAATCTAAATGATAATTTTAACGAGATCAATCTTGATAGATTATTCAAGGAATCTTTTCTAAATTATAAATTCCAGAGATAAAATTACAGGATTAAATACAGAATTAATATAAACTTGAATTACAAACGTACAGCCAATAACAACAAGCTGTTATTTTTTAATTAGTTCTGTGGGCATCATTAGCTAGTGAGGAGGCATGCGGTGGCAAGGCAGGATGCTAGGCACGTGGGTTGAGGGATGCGTGCTTATGAAACGCTATTGTTTACCATAGTCTTGCCGGTCCAATCGAACTCGCCGTCGTCAACGTAGCCGCGCCGCTCGAACAGTTCGCGGAACATTCGCCGGAGCTGGTCGTAGTCGGGCGTCTCGAAGAAGTCCAACCGGCGCACGTAGCGGAGGTACGTCGCCAGCTCCTCGGGGTGACCCTCGCACAACACCTACAAAAAAAGAAACACGTTTAACAGACGATTCTTATGGTGATTTAAATTGAATGTGTAATAATACTACATTATAGGGTTATTAGAGTTACTGCCCTCTCAGTCAAAACTTCATTGAATTAACTCGCAAGTTTGAATGGAAGAAACCTCTATTTAGGATTTGTTCATCTATAACCTACACAAAGGCCTAAGTCTCTACCTATAGGGATAGATCCTAAGACGTTATTTCTATAAACCAATCTCTAAAAATTTTTATTTCATATTACAGCGAAATTCTTTATTGAAAGGACCAATATAAACTACTTTTCTGATAGATGAAGTTATATATATATATATATATATATTAAGGTGCATAAAACAGTAATTTTGGGAAATTATTAAATTTGAAGTTTTTTGTTCAGAGAGAAATGGTACTTTAAACTCGTCCCCACCGTGTATTTTGTCTAATTTCTCTCAGTGTAATGTATAATAATCAATTTCAAATAAATAGTAAAAGTAAGTTTTTTTTTATTCAGCTCTTTTATAATTGGTTCACTTTTTTTTATATACGACGGATTTATATATAACGATAGTAATAAACTTGTATGATAATTATCAATAATAGTCATATTTTTATAGCACATTTTGGATAATTGATATCGTCATTACAATTTGATTACACTGATAAACTATATAATTTAATTATACTGATAATTATATCCGTCCATCTTTAGTTTCAACCAACTTAAAAAAAAAAAGATTTTAATTCGATTGTATTTTCTTTATATTTATTACTTCATAATTTCGTCAGTTATAAATTGATTTAAAGAATTTGATTCTTTTATCTGAAAGGATATATTTGCAGATTGGTCTCATACTTTTTTTATCAAAATTGGTTCATCAAATTTAGTTTACATTTAATCAAAATTAGTTTTAAAATCAAAATCCAGTTATTTTGCTACAATTGAAGTAATTTTTTTAGTGAAACACAATCTTATTTATCCATATTCATACAAATGTTGAGTTTTTTCGCGATTGTTCGCTAAGGAGCCTAGAGTAAACAATGATAAAGAAAGCCAATTCAACTTTAGAACTGATTGATACATAATCATCATTATAACCTATCGGAATGTATGGATTCCCACAAAAAAAAAATATCATAATAGACTTAAGTACAGATTAATCGATCGATTGTATCATGTCGTTTGTAAACGTAGAGAGATGATCATATTTAGAAAAATTCCCTAAACGGAGTTAATATTAAAATAAAAAAACTGCGGAATACAGCCACTAGTAAATAATTAATTGTATACCAACACGAGCCGACTAGCCTTTCGCTGTTTACTACCGTATCACCACAACACAATCGATGTTGACAGAATTCTATTTATGAATTGTCATTTACGTTAAACTTTAACAGGACCTTGATAAGTAGATAGAAAACAGTACAGATATAAAAAAATATCTTGATATTACAATTTTATAATGAATGATATGGAATGATATCTTCGTCGACCTTATTAATTTAGCGGGGTGGTAGTCAGGAATATTATTTTATTTTTAATGAGGCACACATAACGAACTATAACCATATTAGGTTTATGTATAGGTAATTATGGTTTTTATACTAGGTTACAATTCAAAAACATGTGTACACAACATGATTAACATTTAGACATAACATTTGAATTTCGACAGGTGGAAAACATAATAATTAGTAAACATTATATACATATAATTTACATTAAATGAAATTTATACCATAAAACTATCACCACACAAGAAAAACAGCCCAGCCATCCTAAACATGAACTACATCACTAAATACTAGTAAAAGTACAAGTTCATGCCAAACGGCTCACGCACCCCCTGAATGATGACAAAACACGACAAAGAATTATAGATGAGAATGCAGTCACCTACTCACATACCTAGCCCCATTCGTTACTTTTTTTTTTTATAGAACTTAGAATGGCAAACAAGCTGACGGCCCACCTGATGTAAAGTGGTAACCGTTGCCTATAGACATGAGCAGTACCATGGACATAACAGAGCATACTGTTTCGCCCATGATACCCCCCATGCGTTGCCATTCCTGAGGACTCAGGTGTTATTCCTTTGTACCCTGTAAATTCACGCCATATCCTTCAAACCGATCACAGCTATGCAAACACAACTGCTTCACGGTTGAAACACGAATGGGACAGAGGTACTTATGCAATCGACTTTTGTACAAAGTCTACCTAGCCTCATTCGTTACTGTTGGCCATCGTGACTAATTTACCAATATTGCTTTTATAAAGATTGCGTGAAGATTTTTTTTATAACTTAACATGTGATGGTGCAACAAGTGCATGCAGAAGTAAGTTTCGGCACACAATCCATGAATAGGATTGACCAAATAATGTTTATTGCTAACCAGTGTATTGCTAGTGAACCACCGACTATCCACCCTCATATATATATCTCTTACTTCATCTACTTTTATATGGTCATCTCATATTTATTGGGGGGAAAGGGATTGTTAGTAAAGGGGTCTAACTGAGCCATCGCTAGCAATACACCCTCCTATCAGGAGACCTCCGCGTGGTTCACCTGGAAACCGTCGTTGTTAATTCTAGTTGAATTCGTCACGATGGGTTAACTGACCTTCTTTCATCAGCACCTATCATCGCTCACTGACGCCCCGCCAGCATATACCGATAGCGCAGGCGGGGCTACCATTTCATTATCACCCATTAAAAAAACCTCATGCTTATTAGAGACTAATATAATAAACACTAACTAGGACAAAAATGCAGAACCAAATTGGTGACAGAAAGTTAAGTTCAAGACATTTGTAATACGTAAGTCTTATCAAACACGAAAGATTATTGTTCGTGCATTATATATGTATGAATGATTATAACAAGCTAAGTTATATACATACCTCAATTGGTGTCGCTCGCTTGGTGTCACCAATTTTTTGGTATCTTTCTTTGAGAGTATCAGCTTTTAGACCCTGCCAGGGTAAGGAACCACGTAAAAAATACATAAACATATGGCCGAGAGCCTCTAGGTCGTCACGTCTTGATTGTTCTGAAAATATATAGATTTTTATTTTGATTAATTAAACATGATTAATAAATACAAAACACATTATCATCTAAAATAATAAACTAATAGAACAAAGAGGACAGAACTAAAATAATATTTAGACAGTTAACTTATATTTTAATGAACCGAAATTAATAAAAAAAATCGATGTCAAAAGTATTAGAACCCACACCTGTAACGTGCTGTGACCTAGAAATGTTAAGGTGAAATATCATCATCGTCATCGCCATCATCATCATCATCATCACAACAATTCATAAATATCCCACAGATAGGCACAAGTCCATATCCCATCTTTACAAAGCTGGCTACGCAACTTCTTACAAGATTTATTTCAAGACTCTTCACTTACACTGGTGTGGTGATCAGAAATGAGTAAAATAGGCGACTATTGTCTCTCTAGTTTACTCTCTTACTCTATCACCACACGCAGAACAGATGTAAACAAATACTAAGATTTTATTAAATTAAAACACATAAGACTAAACATAGGCTACAATGACTGTTTACCATCAAAAAGGATGTATGCTTGTTAAGGTAGTACCTTAGTGGTATAAAGAAAAAAAAATTACAAATTTTAAACACAATCTTTTTTTTACAAAATATTGGAGTGTCACCATTCAGTCCGTATCTATTTATTGCTGAATATAGACCTTTTACCGTATATCACGTACATAAATTGATTATGGACAAATACATAGCATGCATTTCATCTTACCTTTTCCTAAATGTGTATTTATTGACATGTATCTCGCGGTTCCGGTTAGTGATTTATGCTCCCGATATGGGATGTGTTTGTTCGTTTCTAAATCTATGTATTCTTTGGCCAGCCCAAAATCTGGAAACAAAAATATTGCAAATTAAATATTATGGCTAACTTACTTAATACAAACTAGTAAATTAGCGCGCAAAGATAATAAACGTCAACCGCAATACTAGTTATTATGAAGATTGTGTTACAAAAGCATTCTTATATCTTATTACCTAACTAGCTTGTTGCCCGCTACTTCGTATGCGTGGATTTCAGTAGTAGGAAAATCAATTAAATCTACTTCTAGATAGTGTGTCAAGATAAAACATATACCAGATTTTAGGTTAGATCTTAGGAACACTGCCTCATTACCCTGAAAACCGCATTCAATTTGGTACCGTAGTCTATGCGTGGTGCCGGAAAAAACATACAGACAGGCATACAGACGGACAAACAAAATATCTAAAATATCAATTTTTCTTAAATATTTCCTTTGTACAGATATGATAGATACAATTTTGTTACATTAAAAACAATATATAAGCTACATAAATTTTACTTATTTTGTAACAAATATAAAGCGTAATACTCGATTTGTAGCAAAAATCTCGCTTCATTACTCAAAACTTACATTAGAGATTACAGCTAAATTATAGAATCTACAAAAAGGAAAATCCAACACGAGTTTTCGCCAAAAACTCTTATTCTAAGCTCAACGTCAAGACCTTGACATAGTCACTATTGGCTACTAGAATCGATATTAATTATGCAATAGTAGATCAGTATTCTTTAACCAAATGCTTCAATTAAATAACAAAGATATTAACCAGACATCATCAGCTCTAAAAATAAATATAGGAAAATCGATAACTAAAAAAGATGAAGAAAATAAAACGTAAATACCTCTTCTATTCACATGTATTATTTGTGTGTCGTCAGAGATCATTATATCATAGTATACTATAATAAGAATACTTGCTTCGATATAGAACTAAATTAATAATATAAAAAGGCCCTTGATTCTTCGTATTTGAGCCAAATATTTAAAAAAAAAAATCTATAAATACACAATAGGCTTCTACGAAATCTTACAATACACCCTCATTAATTTAAGACAACAATACACAAGTGCGGGCTTTATATTCATATAACAGGTAGATTTTGATATGAAGGAAAATATATTTACAGGATAGCTCAACAATATTTTATTATCGATGATAACATAAAATTATTCATTATGAATTTAAATATATTGTATATTTGAATATATAATTATTACACAGTATTAATAGAGGATTAAAAGAATAGTTACGGAAAGTGACGAATGAATCTCTTACTGCCTTATTCATAAAAATTAAAACCTACAAATTTAACTATTACATTGTCTTGTCACTTTCTTTCAACTTGGGAATTTAGTGTAAAAGAGAGAGACAAAGCGGTTCAATAACTAAAATTCATTTATGAGAAGTTTGACGTTTTTATGAAGGGTTAGTTTTTAAATAAAGCTCAGATAATAATCTATTTAATAAACAAAGAAATGATTCATACAAACCGCATAGTCATATGATCAATCTAATACGAAAATACTTAAAACCTTTGGAGGTAATGATTTAGTTTAATAGAAATTACTTTCGGTTGATTTCGGCTACTACCGGCTGAGTCTCGGTTATACTGTCCTTTATATTCTAGGTGTAGTCTAGTAGGTCTAGTGGTAGGTGTAGTCTAGGTGTAGTCGTAAAAAGTATAGGGAGCCGAAAAACAATGATAGTAGCTATGATATTGTGGTAAAATTTCACACTTATTGACCACGTGAAGTCCACGATTTGTATGAAAAAAAAAACCTATGATTGTATGTGCAACTTTTTCAGTTCCATGAATACTATCAGTGAATTGGTATGCCCATTACCAAGTGATATGTAGAGACAGTACTAAAAAATAGATGTGGTAATATATGTAGACATATAATAATCGATGTAGACATATAAGTGAAAATATTGCAATTTATTTCTTCATTAAAAAAAAGTCAACGGGAATTACTACTGTTTCAAGAAAGGAATAGCAGACTTATCCTATGCAATACTCACCAATGATGTGAATAATCTTTTCCCTTTTAGTTGCTGTTCTACCTATTAAAAAATTCTCCGGCTTTACATCCCGGTATATTAGGTGCCTCGTGTGGACATACTCGATGCGATGTAACTGAAACACACACATAGACAAATTAGTTTATTACATCGACAGATTGCGTCTTAACTCAGCGGGTGGTAGTTCTTACGCGCGTTACAATAGCGTTTGAACGCACTTGCTAATATTAGACGGTAAGATTTACAGAGAAGGATTATTATGATAATTATGTTTTTATAATACACCTAGTTCAACGAGTAATAATAAATAATGATACGAAGAAGTGGAAAATCAGTAAATAGAAGGGCTTTGTAAATAGAATCCCATAAAAAAATGTCAAGGACATGTCACTGCAGAGCCCCCTGTTATTAATTTATTTAAAAAATAAAGTGTATACTCTATTTTTTCTGTTTTGCCATATTCAGTAAACAATATTGGAATACCTTTTGAATGAAATAACAGTAAAATAAACAAAGCATTCATTTTTTTTTATAATCTGTTCTCATTGCTTACTGCGTGATGAATACTGATAACATTAAAAAAGAAACAATGTTTATTACACACAATGTATTAAATAATACATTGTTAATAAAAATCCGTACCAATAATAAATCATAAACTGTCTGAAAATAGTAAGAAAATTATCAAATTAGAATAATCAGAATTTGATAAAACGTATCTAATTTACACAGTATTGTAATTATTGCAGTACATTATATTTTCACGGTTACAACGACGACGATAAAAAAACAAGTGGAGTTTCTCAATTTGGTTGTATTTTTTTTTTTTTATCTCTAAACTCCGTCATTTATAATTTGATTGGATTGCGATTCCGAATTGGATTTTTTTTTTTATTTGAAAGGATATACTTTTAGATTGATTCCTTAGAAATTGTATCAAAACCGGTGAACACGGTTTTATTTTTATTGTGGTGTATGTATATCGTGTGTATATAGGTATATACTAATAATAGGTAATATCGGCATTGCATTGATATCTATAGATTAAGTACCTCTAGACTTTGATGACGGAAAAGGTCTTAAATCATATGATTATATATATATATATATATATATATATATATATATATATATATATATATATATATATATATATATATATATATATATATAATTGTTGATATAAGATTTGATTAATAGATAGGCTTACTTTTTGATCGTAATACCCAATTATAGGAACACGAATAGAATAGTGGCGAATTGTGGTGAAGGGAAACAAGGTTATCTCCAATGGGGAAGGCAATGTAAGACAATTAATGTGTCAGCTGCGGTAGCACGGAGTACCTACATACGCCCCTGATAAGGTTTATCAATTCAATTGAATCGATGTAGTCTTTCGTTGCGCCTACGTGATATACGCAATATGGAAGTGAATTTTTACATACTTAACTATATAAATATTTTTTGTACGATACGCTAATTTACATTTATTTATCTTTCACTAGCAATCCACCCTGGCTTCACACGGGTACACAGATAAAAAAAAATAAGTTAGTACTTATACTTTCGTGTTACAATTATTGCAATTTTCGTACACATCTCTATTTTTTTTTAATATTATATAGCCTATGTTACTCTCTGATAATGTAACTCTATATGGATGATTTTTTTTTTAATCGTTTGTATAGTTTTTGAGATTATCCATTTAAAACAAACAATCAAATTATTCCTCTTTATAATATTAGTACAGAAGTATAGCTTGACCACATTTAACACACTTTGTACACAAGGAGTACCTAATACTATATGGAACTGGCACTGAGAGAAAATGCTCTTTGATACGGTTGATTGGTAGTGAACCGTATCAAACGGTCAGAATTAACCAGTTAGTGAGTTAGTATCGAAAATAAATATATGTTACATTTTTGTATATATTATAATTAGACTCCAGTAATAGATGTAGGTTTTGTAAACATTGCACATATAATAAACAAACAGTCCTATTTTGGGATATTAAGAATTATTTTGGGCAATTTACTAAATCTGTGTGAACACTTGTTGCCAACATCACGTTTCTTTCAGTAAATAACCAACGACGATTAATCACTGCGACAAACACACAACCTATGCCATTACCCGCTTCTGTTTTGTTTATTTAGGACTGGTTTGAGAGAAAGTAGCCTTAGTTGTATAATAATATAGTACACTTTCAACCGACTTCAAAAAAGGAGGTTCTCAATTCGGTTATAATTTTTATATTTCGTACCTCATAACTTCTTCATTTTATAAACCGATTAGATTTTTTTTTCTATTTAAAAGGATATACTTTCATATTTGGTCCTAGGGAAATTTTATCAAAATCGATTCAGTTGTTAAGCTTTAAAATCAAAATAACATTTTACCACGACTGAAGTCGGTGTTTTTTTTTTTTTTTGTGGAACATAATCTTATTTCATACAGTAGTTTTGGACACATGTGCTTTGAGTAAACGAGATCCTGACTTCGATTCTCGGTTGGATCAATTCAAGAAATGAATATTTTAAAATTATGTTTGGGTGTTCTGGTTGTTGTGTGTATCCAAGTTATATGTAGTTTGGCTTTTTATAACACGTGGTATACTCCTAGCTTAAAGTTCAAGCAATTGTAGAGATTTATTTATTTATTAAACTATTTTTTGCATTAATATTGACAAATAAAATGCAAAACACAAAAGATTAAAAAGCAATTGGATTTCATGAACGCTTTTATTTGTTAACGTAATCTCTCAGATAACTTTTGAAAAGAGAGAGGTATCGTTAAAAAAAATATCCCGGTTACAAACTTACCAACTGCATGGCGATCATTAAGACAGTCTTTAGAGAGAATCGACGGCCGCACAGATCAAACAAGTCTTCCAGCGATGGTCCCAACAGTTCCATCACCAGTGCATTGTATTTACCGCACGGCCCGAAGTAGTATACCTCTGGAATGCCCTCCGCTGACGACGGCGCTATAGGTTCGAGGGATAGAGGGGAAAGGACACAGGGAGAAAGAGAGCAGAAGTTTTAGTACTCACACAACAACTGGGCATTGCTCTCGCTCGCACCTGTACGACACAACACAGTATCCGATATGGGAACCAGTTCGAAATACTAATGACTCGCGAGAGCATTGCTTTGAAAAAAAAAAATCAACAAAAACCACAGATCTAGTCATATCGTTTCGTCATGCCAAAATCAGACGAGTTCTCTACAGTCATTATAATTTTTCGAATGAGCCGACTGAGACCGTTGTCTGAAACGGAAATTATGCTACGGCAGACCTTAACAACAACCATGACCACGGTGTTGCCCTCGCGCGGCAAAAACTGGGTTCGATATCGGTTTCAATGTTGTGCCGAATGAGATAGACGACTATCTACCGATACTGTGTCGACAGGCACTTACGAGCTGCATAGCAATCATAAGGACCGTCTTCAGTCTGAACCTTCGCCCGCAATGCACGAAGAGGTCCTCTAGCGAGGGTCCTAACAACTCCATGACCATGGCGTTGTAGCGGCCGCCACATGTACCCAAGTAGTACACTTTTGGTACGCCCTCTGAGTAAATTTAACTATCATAATCCTTTTATTGTATACAAAACTACAAGGTCTACTCAAGGCTTCTTAGTTGACATGTTACATTTGGACAATGTGAAAATAATTGTAACAACCATGCTAAATATTAACAATACCATTGTTCTATGTGTGTAGGACATTACCGCCAGTAAGTAATTAACTCATTCATGTAGTTTCATGGAAATCTACAGTTGTAGAAAGGTAAGGAATTTAAAGTACTATTACAAATACTTATAATATCCAGATGTCTATTGTTAGGAGCACCGCTCTGCTACAAACAACAATGTTTATACCAAACTCATCTAAGATTGCTCTCGACAGACAAGCAACAGTCTAACCCGTATTGAAAACATTATAATGCGTAAAAACTTACTACAGTACAGTTTAACAATAATAACGGAACCTTGGTAATTATTTTCTTTAAACAATAGACAAATGGGTAATTAAAACATAATATTATGATCTAAGTTCTCTCCAATTTATACACGTTTACTTTCGACCTTTACTATGGGTTTTCTAACACACGAGTAACTAGTGAAGATAAGAAAAACAACGTTCCGTATGTATTACTTCTGTAACATATTAATTTTTAAGACATGTTTGCTGGCATTGAAGTCACTCATTCATTCTCTTATTTATAAAAACGTGAAATCTCGAATAAATAAACCTATCTTAACAGTTGGAATATTTTGTCGCTTTCTTTCAACTAAAAATGTTGCTTGAAAAGAGACAAAATGAGGTAAAATAACTACTGACATAAAAAGCGCGTTTAGTTGCAATCAAGTTCTTCAGACATGTGAATACATTAGGTCATCGCAATACATCAGTATCAGTAGGTCAATTGAAGATTCAACAATTTAGGTAGTCAGAGGGCCTATCAACAGTATGCTTTGTTTACTTCCTACTGAGCATTCGCACCTACCAGATAATGGACTGTTCGAAAACGTTCATCATTTCGATAGGCAATTATTATCATTATGAAATTATATACAAACTTAATTGTACATACTAAACACTTTTATTACACTTTCAAACTCTCACTTCGTTTAATTTTTGTCCATCAGAGATGCTATATAGAGGAATTGAAGCAATTTTACTTGTGAATTATTTGTATGTATACAGTAATTAACTTCGATGCACATTTTACTTATTTCACTAAATATTGTTACATACATTCATGTTTAGAATGTTTAACGAACTATTATATTAATATTACATTGAGCATATATAAAAAAGCCTCTGATGGACATTATCCTTTAACGTTCAGTGATATTGTGATCTTTTTATAAGTTATAGTATCACAATACACCGTACGTTAACTAAACGTTTCACTTTTGAATAAAACAATATTGTCTATTCTAAGTAGCTACAAAGCAGGGATATAGAATATCGATTTTGTGATTTAGACTTACCGTGAGTGCCTAGTAACTTGTAAAATCGGTATTCTAGGTGCAACTGAGGAGCCTTCGATTTCATAGGCTCCATTTTAATCGCTACATGTTCGTTATTGTAGAGATTTTTTCCTGCAACAAAAGAAAATAAAAATAAAAATGGAATACCAGTTTTTAATTAATTAAAGTCAGGTTTGGTTAAAAATATGTAGAATTAGTTTTTTTTTTTTGATAAAAAATAGAATCGTAAATTTAAATGACATAGGTAGAGAGAGCGAATAGGTAAAGGCATTAGCGATTATTACCGCCGCGATGTAGGAAATTTAGATTTAAATTTGTCAAGCAAGAATCGAACAACAAGATTTCACGAACTAATTCGTTTTGTAATCACGTTTAGCGTTTGCCATAACCGGAGAGATAAGCGGAATTTTTCTTTGCATATCAGTATAGAATTTACATGGGTTATCTTAATCGTATAAAAAAAAATCAATCCGGTGCAGAATGGACTACAATCATATAGTATATTAATAATTGTTTTTAAAATAGTACTAAAGATAATGTAAATGTTTCTAAATTCAGTATGAATGAACGCTCTTCACGTTACTCCCTCATAGCGAGATACCCATTAAAATCAGCGTATTATACAAAATGAATCGTATTACAGTTCGCGTAAAGCGGCTTTTAAATCCCCTTAGTGTTGAAAGCATTCATGGGCTGTGGTGGTGGTGGTCCCTTACAGGCGCACCGTATGGATTGCCACCCTAGTCCTATAAAAAAAAACCCTTAGATTAAAATATCTTAGAGTTTTTCTTAGAGATGGGCATGGCGTAGAAGGTGCTGGTTCAAACCCCACCCGCAACGAAATGTTTTAATCACTGAATAATTATTGGAATATGAATTTCATATTTTTATAATATTTCTATCTTATAGAGTCATGAGACGGGTACATACAGATTAACTATAGGGGAATAATTACAAATTATATGTCTTCTGAGCAGCTGTGCGTGCTTAGTAGTGTTACGGTCGAACGATTAAAATGGGTATGTGCAATCTAACACGACCGCCATAACATTTCTATCTATATTAGTCTTCGGGAGTACCTAGCACACTTTTAAGATTAGATTTTACCACTAAAACTGAATATTTTTCGAACTAAAGACCAGACAAAAAACGGCAAAAAATTTGAATCTACCGTCTAATATACTGTCACTGCGCATATTTTATCGTCTTTCAACTCAGATTTCTGTGTAAAAATTAATCACTAACAGAAAACTCTCCAAAAGGGACGCTAATGATTTCGATTCTATACTGTATTATGTATTTGCAGTTTACAAAATATTACAACCTCGAACTGAACATTGGTGCAATAAATCGTTAAAAGTCCGAACGGAAATCATCCAAGGGCGAGGCTGAAATAAATTATATAAAATGAGCCACAAACATTACGTGAGATTCGATCATTTCGCGTACCTAATCATTTAAAACAATCGACTTGGCTCTTACTTATCAATTTCACATGAAATATTTAATATATACATTTTCCATTAAACCGTGTATCAGTTACATTCTTTATTATTGAGTCAATGGCGATTTTCAACCGACTTCAAAAAAGGAAAAGTTCTATCTATTCTCATTTTGATTATAGAAAGATTCTTTAAATTTAACTATTTTACAATAAAATGAAACATATCCTTAAACACTTTGTGAATAATTCTTTGTAACCTGTAGAGTACACGGGTACGCGGGTAAATCGCGTGAATTAGAGCGCGAAGTACCTTAAACGTAAATCCGTGTCATGGTCTATCTGTGCACCAAATTTAATTAAAATACGTTCAGCGTTTAAGCGTATTACACTAACATCCAATTATCTTTATAAACTTTCACATTAATAATATGTATTAACATTATAATTACGTTAAAATATTATTCGTTTAATAGAACAGGATGAAACCTCTTTCGCTCGATTCCGAATCGTTCATTAGATTTAAACGGCATCATTAACATAATATCCTGTAGACTACCATTTAGGAGTCAATTAATATTGACCTTTCTTGAATGAATTTGCAATTTCATTCGGAATTACGATCTCGTACCGTAATTAGAATCTCGCTGCCAAGAAAATACTACAAAATGAAATGCTATAAATTCAGAAATATATATATTTGTTTTAATATAACTAAGGAAACAAAGCGCAATACACCAGTGCAAAAATAAAAAAAAAAACATCAAAAATCAAAATCAGATTTTATATTTAGAGACCTGCTCAATGCGGTAATAGTAGTAAACTATCTGATAATAATAGTATATCTTTGCCAATTTTACATTGATTTTGATAATTCTTTTTACAAACGATAAAGTACCTTTATACTTGTGTATCAAGGTACTTTATCGTTTAATCATAACAAAATGAATATGGAGATTATTCATTTTGTTATGAAATTTTTTTTGCAAAGGAATTCCAAAATGTTCACGATTCCGTATTCCAAATTTAAATAGATATTTGCAAACTCGTATGTCAACGCCCATGAAACATTGCATTCTTTATCAGTAAGTTTTATTCATTTTAAAATAAGAATATTAAGAATTAATCATATGACTAAGTAGTAGGTAATAATTTATCACGATTCAAATCGTCTTTTTAGCGAAACAAAATCTTAATAAATAATAAGAAAATAATAAATAAAATTATTTTTTATTCACTAAACTTAATTACAAGCATTTTTTAATAGTAATTTTTTTATGAATATACCGCCCAGTTTGGAATGCAATTTCAGCTAAGAAGAAAACGGGTAAGAAAATTTGATGATAGTAAGCTCGTACTATATTAGTGTTTAATGTTACAATATCTAGTATAATATACTATTAAGTTGGTCGTTTAAATCACAAATAACAGATGTCAGTAAATTACAGGAAGAAAGCAATTAAAAACAAATTAAGGGTAAAAAATGATCTTCTTGTAATCAAGCCAATAAGCTGTATTTAAATAAAGAGTCTGGACGGAGGCTTTGCATTATAGATTAGAATTATTTATACGATATTCTTATAAGACATTTTTCTTGATAAGAGATAGACAGACCATCTGGTCAACCGATGACATATGCACATATCGTTAAGATGCAAATGGCAAATGCAATAAAACCGATCGATATTTCTTTTTGTACTAGGCTTATTCATTCACAACAATAACAACCTTTTTATCGCCTCTTTTCTTGAAACTGGTTATTTAAAAAAAAAGATAGAAATAAAAACATTACACCTTACTTTCATGTTTAAGCTATTTGTTTATTTGTTATACTGTTATTTTCATAAAACAAAGAATTATTATTTAGTAATATTTTAAGTGGGACATGATACAGGGACATGGGACATGGGACAGATAAAGGAAACACTAGGTGTCATGTCGTATAGGGAGATAAAGGATATGGCCTGGGATAAAGATAGCTGGAGGAAGATGCATGAATTAATTGCACCGACAAGAGGAAACTCTTAAATGAAAAGAAGAATATTTTAAGTATTAGAAATAGTATATACCACCTTATACCGTTCGAATACCATTCGATTCGGTCATATTATTATTATTGTTAATAAAATCCTATTTATTACAACAAGATTTCAATTCAGAGATAAATTAACACGTAAATTACAAACAGTTATGACATCCATCTATTTAAATACATACCTATAGTTGATCAAGTCAATAACTTCAGAAAGCACTATATTGTGCAACTATAATTACATTAATATAATATCATATCAGCCATTAACTGTCCACTGCTGAACATAAGCCTCCCCTTTGTGGGCTTTGCCAGTAGTTGCCAGGCTTGGCAGGCGGATTGTCAACCGCAGTTAGGCTTTAAAGATGTTTTAAGAGGGCTGCTGCTCAAACCTCCTCTATATAATATATATTATACTAATAATTAAATCTACGCTTATAAAAATAGAAAACCATCGACCTAAAAGTCTAAAATTAACACATATATTTTTTTTAAGGAATGTAGACGTCTACTAAGGAACTTATGGGTTGAAAAATTTACCTTCCTACAGCTCGATCTGATGGGATTCGAACCCACATCTTTCTACTATCTGGACTGTATGCTCACAGATTTTTTTTTGATGGGTGAAAATGGTATGGTAGCCCCGCCTGCGCTAACGGGATACGCTGGCGGAGCACCGGTGAAGGGTGATCGAATCGATGAGAATGAAAACAGGCCAGTTAGCTCATCATGATGAATTCATCAGGAATTAACCATGATAGTTTCCAGGGAGTACCGCAAGGAGATCGACCTGGTTGGGTATATAGCTAGCAATGGGATTCTCAGTCTCCATTACTAACAATCCCTTCCCCCCTGTATGCTCACAGTTACACAGTTATACCACAGAAGAAAGAGCAACAGTAATCGCAAGCATGTAATTTGTCAACCTAATAATTAATATTTAATTGTAAATAAAAATGTTCCATCTAATTAAGATTTATAAATGCAGGGTTTATCGGATTTAAAATATTTTCAAATCTACTAAAGGACATTGAATATTTCCGAGAGAACAGAGGCGGAGCCCGGTATGAGAGAATTCCGAGCAACTAGTTATTTATAAACATAAGTTCTGATTTTATAGAATATAGGCGTATAAAGTATGTATACATTCGTATCAATCGAACGATAGAACTTCGTATTATATTATGACAACTACGGTATTATTATCATGTCACACCTATTTTAGAAGCAAACGTTACGACGCAGAGTTCAAACTGATCTGCCACCTCTCAACCTTATTTACGTTATATGGAGATTGTTTGTTTGTTTATTACTTATTTCATCTTACAGATGAAATAAACGTTATAAAATTTAGACTACATATATCCAGCCTAACCAACACTAGTTACGAGGACAAAGTCGTGGGTAAAAATGAGTATTATTATTGTATAAATAATAGATTATTTTGTTTTATTGTTAGCTTATTCTCTTTTGGCCACAACCGAATATCAGTGTTTTGTTCTTTTAAGGGCAAAGCAAGTAAATTGAGTTATAACCATTTTGTATTACTATGGCACACACACATAAGGAAAAATGTATTTCCCTCCCTTTTTTTGTATATGCACTCTTTTATCTCTTTTTAGTGTATGTCTATTCATA